TGATTTTATTTCAAAGTCGTTAAGTACATTGAAACACGTGTGCGTTATGGTTATTATAAAAGTAATTAGGCTTAAAGCAACAGGTGGCAGGTGAAGTCTATAGTGGCTCAATTTCTTGATGGAATGAGAAAATTCCACAATTTTCAAAATTATTATGTATTTATAGAAAAAAGGTAAATAAAAAAGCAACGAATGATATTAATTGAGGCGAGTCTGTCCATATCGGATGTTATTTCTCAATGCTGGACATGAACCTGATAGCTGTCTTGGTGTTAGTCGTGCGTGACGAGTGTCTTACCCCTAGCCTGTGATGTATGCCTCATACTAATTACGTGCTCTTCAATTTTCTGAATCACCATCTTGATTGTATCAATAACAAAATTAGACCTATCGCCATGGCAACAAGCTTAAAATTTTAAAACGTACGTGTATTTATAAATATCCCGACCAATGTCATCAGTACATTTTTTATATCTCCAACTTTCCGGAGATATTACCGGAAATGATTGTAGATAGCAACTTCTCGTCTAAATGTCAAAACTTATTTTAAAAAATGTTGATATCTAAAAAATTACGAGTCTTTATTTTAATTATCTATGAGAGACAGGTGCCAGAATATCATATCTCCTCGTGGCATAAAAAGTTCTTCAAATTTGATTTATGGTCATGAACTCTTCAATGTAAGAATGCGTGTACCTTGTAGTGTACTAGGTACATTGTAAGGCGCAGTGTGACCTGGTATAGTACAAATAAAGCGTGTACCTTATAAAAAGTGAAAAAGTAAATTTGTGTACCTGGTAGAGTGTAGGGCACATGTGTGTAATTATACAGTGTAGGGGAACAGGTGTGTGTACCTCGTGTAAAATTAAGTACAGGTATATGAGTACCAGGTACAGGGTAAAGGTACACTGTGTAACTTAACATGTGTGCACTTTTACAAGTTATAGAAGAGTTTTATCGCAGATAGTAACAAAATCAATAAATTAAGTCTGATACCACAGTGAGATGATGACTCCGTCATTTGGTATCGTTAGATTAGGAACAACATGTGCTAAAGAAACTCTATGCCACCGGTTGCAGCAAAATTAAAATCGTATGGTCAAAACTTTTACCACCAGTAAGGTCTTGTCACAAGGAACACCCTTGCCAAATATGAAAGCTCTTACTGTGTACTAGTTATGGACAAGGTTAAAACTGACCACGGATAAACAGACAGCACAGAAACAGATCTTACGATCCGGGCATTTGGGGTACTGTAAAATACCGAATATGATACAGGAGGGTTAGTCTGTTTGGTAGTGAGTGTGATTCAGAGGGGGTAGTCTGTATGGTAGTGAGTGTGATTCAGAGGGTAGTCTGTATGGTAGTGAGTGTGATTCAGAGGGGGTTAGTCTGTATGGTAGTGAGTGTGATTCAGAGGGGGTTAGTCTGTGTGGTAGTGAGTGTGATTCAGAGGGGGTTAGTCTGTATGGTAGTGAGTGTGATTCAGAGGGTTAGTCTGTTTGGTAGTGAGTGTAATTCAGAGGGGGTAGTCTGTGTGGTAGTGAGTGTGATTCAGAGGGTAGTCTCTATGGTAGTGAGTGTGATTCAGAGGGCAGTCTGTTTGGTAGTGAGTGTGATTCAGAGGGTAGTCTGTTTGGTAGTGAGTGTGATTCAGAGGGGGTAGTCTGTATGGTAGTGAGTGTGATTCAGAGGGGGTAGTCTGTATGATAGTGAGTGTGATTCAGAGGGGGTAGTCTGTATGGTAGTGAGTGTGATTCAGAGGGGGTATTCTGTATGGTAGTGAGTGTGATTCAGAGGGGGTAGTCTGTATGGTAGTGAGTGTGATTCAGAGGGGGTAGTCTGTATGATAGTGAGTGTGATTCAGAGGGGGTAGTCTGTATGGTAGTGAGTGTGATTAAGAGAGGGTAGTCTGTATGGTAGTGAGTGTGATTCAGAGGGGGTAGTCTGTATGGTAGTGAGTGTGATTCAGACGGTTAGTCTTTATGGTAGTGAGTGTGATTCAGGAGGTTTATGCTGTGTTGAATGTAGCTTCGTTTTTCATATTATGGAATGCAATATCTCGATATCAATAATCAAACAAGACATGCTAACGGTGAGAAGTATATTTACTCCTGCTGACTCCGAGTTTGGTCTCCGTTCAACAATTACTTTTGAATGTTGCAATAGGGTTTAGTCGGTGACCTACTGATCGAATTTCAATGATGTTTGCCAGACAAACTTTTATGAGGTTCGTACCAGGTCAATTTTCGCTTCGAAGCTGGAACTTGTTAGATCAGTATAAGAACAAAAAATATCTTGAACATCGATTTTTTTATATCCTCTGTCTGTTTCATAGTGATTTGGATAGATCATATGAAGAAAATTATAGTCTACCAAAAATTGGGATTGTTGTATGCCAGAAGCGGTAAGGTGGCAGTATATATAAATTGGAAATTCGGTGCTGTTAAGTAATGGTTTCGTTCGTAGTCCTCTGTCTGAAGCGCTGCTCAGCTATAAATTCACTTTTCAATATCTTCGTGGAATTAACAGGAAATGGCCGTCTGGATATGAAACAAGAAAATAATTTCTTATGACAACCGCAGTCTGGTACACAAATCGGCGTGAAGAATTATGTATTCGTACAAGTACATCGTAGGTTTGGCATTCAACAAAAATCAAATGTCTCGAGATGACTTCAAAGTACAACGAATATTTGTTTATTCAAATTATCTTTTCTAAAACGCAGTCTAAGACATCGTACTAATGACACTTTTGTTGAAATTGTATGAATTCAACACCTATAGTCAATCTAGTCTTGAAGGCTAGACGAGTTATTTCCCTTTAAAGCGAGGCCGATTTCGCTGTGATTTTAATCATGACTCTAGAAGCATTATCCATGCCCTTGAGTAATTGAGCCAAATGGACCGATTAGTCTAGTTAGATGTACATTTGCCTCCGTCTGCTAACACACACACCGAACCTAAATACAGGCTCAGCTACGACTTTGACCAGTCAATACAATTTATCTAGCATATGAAGCTATTTCAGTATTTTAAATACCTTTGGCAATATTTGTCCTCATATCTTAGAAAAGTACCAGCCAAGTGCCATGATTAAATGCGACTCCGTTCACCAGAATAAGCCATATGAGCATTTTAATAAGTTTGACTCCTGATACCTTGAATATCGTGTCAATGTTATTTCTTTTTGTAAACTTTGTCCGGCTTTATCCCAAAAACCTATAGGTGAAATGTCGTGAATCTATGCATTTCAGACATCTAATCGTTTGAATTCGTTTGAACATTTTAGCGACTTTTATCCCCATAGCTTTGAATATAATGTCAAAGTAAGGTCAACGTCACGTTTAAGCGTTTTAGTTGATTTGGCTCTAGTGACCTTGATTATGGATCAGCCTCTGATGTGTTTATCGAGATCTGTTTTAAATGGACTTCGTCTGTCTCTATGGCCAATTACTGATATTTTTCATTCCAGGTTCCAGAACACTGAGATGGTAGGTGGTCTCTCCTGTGGATGTTTAGCTTAAGGTCTGGATTTGAAATTAGTTTTACACTTTCTAAGGAGACTTCTTCGAAAGATAATTCCATTTGTCTACCTGTCTTTTAAGGGGAGCTAAACGTCCGCACATTTGTTCTTTGAGATTTCTTAACAATATTTTCGTTGTGTCCTCTAAATGTTCTGCTACTCATTGTAAATAAGGTGTTGCTATTACAATTGCCTATCCAATTGAGTATCCTGTTTACTTTTTATGCCAGTTCTTTGACGGCGGCGGAGAGTAAACCTAAATGAGATAGCCTTTCTTTTTAGTTTTGATTCTCTTTGGTCATGCTACCTTTGTTTTGGTAGTAACTGCATGCTGGTTTCTAGATTATTCCCAATTGTAAATATGATTTTGTACATGTGCACAAGTGAGTTTTGTTCAGAGGTTCAAAAGTTCTATTACTCCAAGAATTTCTCGACTTTTTATTTTTTTATTTTTGTAAATGAGTTGCCATTTATTATGTGACTAGCTCTGTAGCTGGTCAGTGTTATCAATGTCATCTTGAAACTTTTTTCTAATCTTCCTCACTGTTGATATTTGCATATAGTTGTTTTGTTGTTGTTTTTTTTGTTAAGTTCTGTGAATAATTTCAGTGTTTGAAATTCCTTTTGTGATATCACGCATGCGTCGATGTACATGTATGTATTGTATTCGACCATTTCTTTTCGTAAACCTTCACGTTGTTGAATTGAGAAGCTATTTAAGGGATTTTTTTATCATCGGAGGGGCTACGTGTACTGACGCAGTGCCACGTGCACGGACGGCATAACGATTTGCCTAAAAGCATCCAAAATACCACAAACTACCCTAAACTTGACATCCAAAACCTTCTTCAAAACATTCGCAAACTTCCCGAATCACCCAGATACTACTCCTATATCTGTTATCGTGAGTAAGGGTTATACCCCTTCCAAAACAACGTCGGGAGCTGTAATTTCACAAGGGTATGAAAGTAGCTTTGGGTGTTAGGGAGTAAATCGTTCTGCCCTTAGCGGAAGCTCTTAGTTAGCTAATTAGGCCCTTCAACCAATAAGAGCTAACTTAACGCCGTGTCATATATATTCAGACTGAGACCTGAGATACTCAAATCTAAATTTAGTTGACTTTCGAGCTCCCCAGCTTCGAGTCCATACGTGTACCTTCATGTCAACAATGTATTGTATATGCAATACGAAAGTAGATATACATAGCAACATCTCCAGTAATCTATATACGATACATGCTAAAATATGTCATTAAATTCAACTATCTAAATAACGCCTTCGATTACACTTCCATACCCAAACGACGGCACACGTGAAGTTGTAAACCTAACGTCTAATGTATATACATGGTATATACAAGTACAAGAAGTTAGTCACCGTTGAAGCTCTTTTGTTTCATGAGGTAATAAAATGGTACGACTCAGTAAACAAGACGGAACTGTCATGGATCTATGCCTATAGCCCGATTATTTATCGATAAAATGGCATCAATCATTTGCGATGTCGTCGACAAGGACATCGTGCGATGCAATGGAACGGATTACAAAGCCGAGGAAAGACTGACCTATAACGACGAATGGTTCTGGATATATCTTGGCATTTATGTCGGTCTCGTGCTTATGGCCGGTACGTCTAGCAATATCATCTATCAGCTGTCATGCAGAATGCTGATGAAGACAACCCTAGTTATAGACAGTTTTATTGCATCTATACTTTAAATTATCGCCAGTCGAGTACCTTGTTATGACATTAATCAAATTAGGATTGGTGTAAATGGAAGAGGATATTACATGTACAATTGGACATTATGTAAATTGATTAAAATATAAAAATGCAACCAGGGGCATGTACAAGGAAAATACTATTATATACAACATCAGAAACACACAGTAGTTTGGGGAAATGACAAATATTGTAATTTGTTTTAACCATAGCACAATATACTTTCGAGGCAACAAGCCATTTTTTATATTGAATACCATATACAATGTACATCATTTAACTTTTTAAGTTACAGTTGTTTTTGTAGGTGTAATGTTGTAGGCTTTGTCTATAACAACATTACAAAGGAAGAGACCAGGTATATATATTAGTATCAACATCATTGCAGCCACAATGTATAAGTACATACAACACTAAGGGACCTATTGTGCCATTGTAGGGAAGTCTGGAATCTAACCTAGCTGACATATGATCCCTTGCAGCCAGTATGTATGGAACCAATGTTCGACGAGAAATTAATCTGAAACTCATGCTTGAGTACATTCATCATGACAGTCAGTGAGAATGTCATCACATTATTAGTGATCACTGTACCGGGGCATCTACATGTATACTTCTAGTAATGACAAATCAGTCTGACAACATCCACGATTTCACATTCATACACAAACAAGCCTTTAGCAATTACATAACTGTGATATCTTTCTGGTCACTCATGCACTTGCATTGTCTAGCCAGCGATATAAGAACACAATTGTTTTGATTGTAGGAATGATGTCTGGCCTGACTATGGGACTTCTGTCACTTGATTTGATGAGTTTAAAAGTGATGAAAGATGGAGGGACTCCCAAGGAGAGAAAACATGCAAAGAAAATTTTACCTATGGTGTCGCGTCATCATCTCCTTCTCGTTACTCTGCTTTTAGCTAATGCTGCTGCAGTTGAGTCAATGCCTATCTTTCTTGACAAGATTTCAGACCCAGTCACTGCCATTGTTGTCTCTGTTACTGCTGTACTCATATTTGGGGAGTAAGTTATTCTCAATATATATGTATTGTAAAACACTGAGTCCGATAACGAAAAAAAGTTTGAGTCAGTTGAGCTTCTTAATGTTTTTGTTGTCATGAAAAATGAGAAAAAGAGTCATTGTGTAAGTACTTGGACATCTAAACTTTTTCCTGATTGTGTTGTAATAGATGATAATTTGGTATAGTTGTTTCCTTTCAGAGTAATCCCACAGGCAATATGTACAAGATTTGGGTTAGCAATTGGAGCAACTTTATCACCGTATGTATATATCGAACAAAATTTTCAAATTCCTTCAAACTGGTATACTTAAGTTTTTAAAGTAATTTTTTTTATGTAGATTGTGAGATGAATCTGTGAATACAATTTGAACATTCAGTACATGTAATCATGTTTCATGTCAGACCCTGTCAGTAATCTGTCATTGGTGTAATTTCATAACAGTTCAATATCTTAATTTCATAACATTTTAATCGCTTTACAATGTCCTTCATTTAGTGTATATTCTACATTGCATTATTTAATTAACACTTCAATGAACAAATGGTTGTAGTTATGCAATAATGTTATTATGCAATATATCAAACTAAATGAACCATAGAGAAACCTATATAAATGTACCTTAGACAAAATTTTTGCAAAAATTGTTACCTACATAAGGCTTATGTCACTCAACTGAAAGGGCCTGCTACTTTCTTATCAGATTGGCAGGATTGACTTTTTTTCCTATAAATTCTAGTATGGTATATTTCTCTGCTGTCTGACTGCAGGTTGGTGTACTTTCTGATGGCTATATTCTACATCATTGCTTGGCCCTTGTCCAAGATCTTGGACTGTCTGTTGGGGAAGGATCATACCACTTTCTACAGGCGTGCCCAGTTGAAGGTCCTGGTCAACCTCCATGGTCCCAATGGCTCCAGCCTGCCTCCTGATGACTCCTCTGACGAGCATCAAGGAGAGCACCTTAGCATTGATGAAGTTCTTATCATACAGGTAAATAAATTTGTCAAGGTCACATAAGACCAGCGTTTGATCTTGGCAGTATTTTCCTGCAGATCACACTTCATGCAATTTCTGAATACAGACACTACTGTATTTCATCATTTTAGACATGGAAACAGTAACTCAAAGATGCAATAGAGAAATTTTAATTTGGAGATCTGTAATTAATTACTGCAATTATCATCTTAGATAATTATGTTACCTGTAATTTATGTTAGCAATAATCATGTTATGAGTCTGTGGAGGATGCTTCAGTTAAGGACAATTTCACAGAGAGTAGTAGATTTATATCACATATTTAAACCTCTGTCACGTATTGTATTCCTCACAGGGTGCCCTGGACATGAAGACCAAGACTGTCAAGGTTGCCATGTTACCTCTGGACGATGTGTTCATGCTGAGCATCACAGACAGGATGGACAAGGCCACCATGTTGATGGTGAGTAAGGAGACTTAACCCTTGTTGATACTTAATGATAAAGTAAGATATAGATTCTTACATGGTATGGCATTAGAAATTGAGACATGTTTCATAAAAAGAATGTTATTATCTTAATTTCAATATTGTTTATGAGATAATCTTAAAATGGCTAACATCTTCAAAACGTTTTGCATTTTGTGAAATATATCATTTGGTTTTGTAATTTTCTATTTTTAACATCATTTCATATATGTTGTCCCTCAGTATCTCACCAAGTCTCTTTTTAACTCCAAAATATCTGTGGAGAAAGGATTTGTCTGTGGACTTATATAACCTGATTGGTAGTACTTAACCATTGTAATATTTCTGTGGTTAAAAATATTTCAAATATGCCTTTGGTAAACACTGGTCACACATATAATGTTCTGATTTATTTTACAAGTGTAATTTTAAAATGGTGACCTCTGAATATTTAATCAAAATCAACTAAACTGTTTTGTATGATTTTGTTAATCTGATAAATGTCGTAAATTAAAAAAATAATGGTGGATTAACTTTATAATAGGTCATGGAAAAAGCTCACTCACGGATCCCTATCTATGATGGTCCATACACTAACATTATAGGAGTAATACTGGTGAAATCTTTGATATTACTTGACCCTGAGGATGCTACACCCATCCGTACTCTACTACATAGTCAGGCAGTAAAGACAGTCATGTTTGTTGATGAAGACATGCCTCTATTTGACCTCCTCAATATATTCCAGACTGGCAAAAGTAAGTGTCTTTTGACAAATAAGTACTGTAATTAAATCTAAAGGGAGTGAAGGTCCTGGTCATATACAGTAAATCAAGTTAAATCTAATGAGTGGTATGTGCACTTGTATAACAATAATACATATCTAAAGGATGAAGATGATTTTAACCTTTTCTCTCTGCTACAGAATCAAGTACAATGTGCTGTCTTAATGCTTAGTTTGGCCCAATCCAAATTATGGGAAATAAGTATTAACTTTTTCCGAAGAAAACAGCATAATGATGACTACGTTCATCCATAGTAATTGATCTACAAGCAATATAAAGAAATTGCTATTTGTGCAATCATATTTTAGCGTAATACTTATATCACTGAAAGCACTAAAATAAAATATCCACTGTAGGTTTACATAAATTGATCAGAATACTGAATATGTTTAGTCACGTTATATGTATATTTTCCAGGTCATATAGCTTTTGTACAGAAAAGTTCTTCCAGGGAGAGGCATGATGACCAGGCAGATGATGTCCATTTACTGGTCACCACAGCTGATGAGGATTGTGTTAGTGCTAGCGCTCAGTCCTCTGGACCAGTAAGTGTCTCGAGTTATCTCCCTTATGGATATTTTCCAATAATCCCTGTGTTTATCTAGTATTAGCTCTATATCTTTTGTTCACTCATCATTTCAAATTAGACAAGTTTAATAAAGGAACATTATTCAGCTAAAGGTTCAAGAATAGAAAACATAACAATTATTATTGTTAAGTTTAGATTTTCTAGTGTGGGCACCCAGTTGCTAATATTGATGGTGCACACATGTTAATGACATATAATGTACATAATGTACCTTTTACTAGATATCTTACTAGGTAGAGAATTTATGTTCATACTCAGAGAAAGTTAGTCATGAACTTAAGAACTAAACATCCCCCAAGAATGTCTTTGGGCTAAATTCAGACCTTTGAAGTAGTACAATAATTTTGAAAAAGATGAAAATGTCATTGAACAGATGTTATATGTGACCATGTAAATGAAAGTGGGGTGACTTACAGTTTGGAAGAAACTGATTAGATTAGATGCACTGAATTAATTGATTTATTTTTCCAAAGAATCTTTTGATGTAGTTGTCAAGCACTGACTGATCTACTCTCCATTTTGTAGGTTGTAGGTATAATAACTTTAGAGGATGTGATTGAAGAGCTCATTCAAGAGGAGATAATTGATGAAACAGATGTTTATGTAGACATACATAAACGGATACAGGTAGCAAGGGCACAGAAAGCTAGGCGAGATCAAAGGGTAGGTGGTGTGTGCTCTGGAAATTTCTTTATTTTACTGATAAAATGTCAGAAAATAAAGAAAAAAGATTTGTTTTCGTTTTAACTGGATGATTAATAATTCATGAAGTTGTTGATGAAATGTGAATTAAGTGAATAAAAAATGTTCACCTATGTCAAGATTTGAGAACTTCTTCATGTTTACTTCAAAAGCATGCAGTATTTACATTAGCTTTGCCACAATATTTTGTTTAAAGCAATTTTCTAATTTTGGCCCTGTGTACAAAACTTCATAAAAATTCAGTTTTGTTGATTTATCTTTTGTTTTTCTCTATCTTTTGTGTTGTTTGATCTTACGCACTTGATATTGGTTTGTAATTATGATGACTGTATATTGTGGTTTTTTATTTCTTTTTTTTTTATTTTGATGGCAATATTTCTAGTTACTCCTCAAACCATTCCATTCTATATTCAGTGATGGGGAGCAGGACACAGTGTCCTCCTCCGTTTAACTTATCTGGTTAGGTTGGCTGTGTATAGTTTTTATTTAATCCTGTTGTCAAGGTCATTAGGTTTGCCTTCCTTCCCAGTTATATGCACTTCCCTTTACACAGATCCTGCATAGTCGCCAGGTCTCCATGGAGAACCAGGGGGCTGACTCCGGGGTCACCACTGACCCTCAGGGATTAATGGATTCTTTAGACCTTGTGAGTTCCAAATTATAAAAAAATCTGTAGTGAAGTTGGAACTGAATGTGTTGCCTGTTTGCTCCTAATATACTGTACTAACCTGGCATACTTTAAGATCCAGCTCATTTAACTCATAGGAAAGACCTTAACATCCATTTCTGTATGCAGCCTGCTAGAAGTTCCTATTAGAATATATACACCCATTCTCAACTTGACCCTATTCTGTGTGAATTTTCTACTAAATCTCTACCTGTACATATTTGCACATACAGAGGGACATTTCAGTCCTTACATTTCTATTTTTGACTATGTAATACTGTCAACAGTCAGTGTTGGACTTAATGACAGTTTTAGCTGTTAGTCTTTGTTCCCCTACAGGTATGATTCTGTTTGATTCTGTTTTTTCACTACCTTTTTGCTATGTTTTAGTAGTTTCCTATTTTCTTCCAATTTTATCTGTTTCACTGTAAAAACATCTATATGTTGGTTATTTCTTATGGATTGTAGCAAAATCCTTGATTAGTAAAGTGTTAAAATAAATGAATGTTCTCAAATTTGATTGTGTTTAAACTATTATCAATTAATCAACAAGCCTTTTTCTGAAAACATTATATCTAAAATATGGAAACAATGAATGATAAGAATTAGTATGACAGAAAAATCTCTGTAGAGAGTTCTGTTTGTATAATTGTTATGTAATGTTGTTGTCAACTTTGTATTTCACAGTCAATGTTGAAGAGTCGATCCAATCCAATCATGAGGAATGACCGTGAAAAAGAGGTCGTGGATTGTCACACCTCATATTCGATGCCAGCAACAGAGAGTAATATCAACAGTGACAGAGAACCCCTTCTTGGGCCTCCAGTAGTATACACCTAGGGTATATTCAAATGCCAGCGGTGAATTCAACATCAACAGTGGAGAGAACCCCTTCTTTGGCCCCAGTATTGATAGCCAGTAGTGAATAATAATATCAACAGTAACAGAGAACCCCAGTTGGGGTCCCAATGATGTTCACTAGAGATGAATCCTTCTTGAAACTGTGTAAATGTATTCCTGTTGGTTAGAACTATTCCAATGTTCTATCAGCATTTTTTTTATATTGGCCTTGATGTTGATATTTTCTCTTTATAACAATATACATTTAGCTGCCGAACATTTTCATACTTGTGTCATTGTCTTTGGATTTGTTCAGCCTCTTGCCAAATCAGACTGGGATCATGATTCATGATTCACAATGTATATAACTTGGGTTTTAGTCTTGAACCACGGCTTTAAAGTTTTAGTAGTGACTGAAATGGATCCACTCTTTATAAAGGAAACAGGAATGTAAACCGCAGTAAAGTATACAATATTGAATTAAATGAAAGAAATGATTAACTCATTTGACAAAGATAAGCTTATGGGGTCATTAAAAATGGAGAAATAATGTGAAAATCAACATTGCTTGTTGATGTAAGTGGATTTTTCAAAAAAAATAAAAAACAAATCCTGGATCTTCCTCATGGTATCACATGATACTACTTTTCTTTGTATCTATTGTGTGTAAGTGATTTGAAGAGAATATGTGTAAAATGATTTACATTGGTATGAACAAGTGGACCATAGTCAATCTTAGGATGATGAAATGTATTAAGTATATGTTTAATTCTAAATGTACAATTGGTAGTAGCAATTCCAGATCATGTTCATTTGTATTAATGTGTTCCTGTGTACTCTATTGATAATATGATGATATTGATAATACTTTAGTCTTTAAATCGTCATTATCATTATACAAGTGTATATACTAGTATGTCTTTTTAACACTGGTGTTAGAGGATGACTATACTAGACTTACACCTTTGCTGTAACACAAATTTCAGATTTCATTTTCCATAACACAAATATAAGTTGCATTAGAATTATTTGAAATGGTTTCAGCTTGACTTACAACCACGCAATATGTAACATGTTCATTTATTTTTGTCTCTGAACTGATGCAGCTTTGAGATTCTCCTGAAGATGTAGATATTCAGATAGTGATCATATTGATTTTTGTGTTCACCTAGCCCTAGATATTAATATATATAAGTTTATTTTTTATATCATTTTACACAATATTAGGAACTTTTCAGGTTTTTTCTCCTTTTTTTGTAGATTTACTTACTTAAGTAATAAAACCCTAATATATGAATAAACAGTAATAACAAGTAATCCTGGGGATGGCTACTAATTGTACAACACTACAGATTATATCACTAACTGCAGTCTCACTCCAGTCTTCAAATGTTCTTTTGTCAACTCTCCTGGAGCCCACTGTGTTCCGCAAGTCACTAACACTGGCTGTTGTAACTTACTTCATTAACAAATTATGATCAAAGGTGCTTCTCTCTAGACTTCTATATGTGTTAATGGAAAATTTTATCCTTCCTCTTGTACTTCACATTTTGTATTCCACACTCTTGAGTCTGTGATAATGATATTTTGTTTTCTTGATCAAGATCTAAGGATACAACCGGGTAGATTTTATATATTCTGATCATGTACTTCTATCAACTTTTAGGAAGATTAATTAATGACGCAGTTCATGTTTTTTTTATCTGTTTTACATATCCTGGAGATATTGTTTCACTGAATCAGATATGTTACAGTATAAAACATTTGTTACTTGTTAGAATATTACATGTGTTCATGTGTAGATTTGATCTCCCTACATCTATAAATATTTTTCTGTGACAGAAGTTTTGGTTTGTACAAGATCCTGGATCAAATTAAGAAAGAAATCAGAAAGATAAAATGATCAGTTTGTCTGCTACAATTTAACAGCTAGATTAGAATTTTGTTATAATTTGTTGTTATTATTGAATAGTTACCTTGATATCTTTGAAGTCTCATTACAGGCATTCATATACTACTGTATTTTGAGAAGCTTTATCTGTTTAGTGAGGCAATACTTGTAAGCCTTCAGTTTTCATTTCTCTGTATCTGTAGAGCATATAAATGTATATTGTACCCACACGCAATTTAATTGCTGATTCCCCTTATAGTATTGTGCTTGATGCTTTTAATATTACTTTGTATGTCTGGATGTACCGTAATGTTTGTGACCTTACTTATCAGTCAAAAAGTGAGATGTTGTATATGTATGTAATCCACCTTCCTTGTCAGGGAAAGTGAGATGTTGTATGTAACCCGCCTTCCCTGTCAGTAAATGTGGGATGTTGTATGTTACCCACATTTCCTGTCAGGTAAAGTAGGGTGTTGTATGTAACTCACTTTCCCTCTAGGATAGAAAGAGATGTTGTATGTAACTCACCTTTCCTGTCAGGTAAAGTAGGGTGTTGTATGTAACCCACCTTTCCTGTCAGGTAAAGTAGGGTGTTGTATGTAACTCACCTTCCCTGTCAGGTTAAGTAGGGTGTTGTATGCAACTCACCTTCCCTCTAGGATATAGTGAGATGCTGTATGTAACTCACCTTTCCTGTTGGGTAAAGTATGATATTGTATGTAACCCACCTTTCCTGTCAAGTAAAGTAGGATGTTGTATGTAACTCACCTTCCCTCTAGGATAGAAAGAGATGTTGTATGTAATCCATCTTTTCTGTCAGGTTAAGTAGGGTGTTGTATGTAACTCACCTTCCCTGTCAAGTAAAGTAGGGTGTTGTATGTAACTCACCTTCCCTCTAGGATATAGTGAGATGCTGTATGTAACTCACCTTTCCTGTCAGGTAAAGTAGGATGTTGTATGTAACCCACCTTTCCTGTCAGGTAAAGTAGGATGTTGTATGTAACTTACCTTCCCTTAGGATAGAAAGAGATGTATGTAATCCACCTTTCCTGTCAGGTTAAGTAGAGTGTTGTATGTAACTCACCTTTCCTGTCAGGTAAAGTAGGGTGTTGTATGTAACTCACCTTTCCTGTCAGGTAAAGTAGGGTGTTGTATGTAACTCACCTTTCCTGTCAGGTTAAGTAGGGTGTTGTATGTAACTCACCTTTCCTGTCAGGTAAAGTAGGGTGTTATATGTAACTCACCTTTCCTGTCAGGTAAAGTAGGGTGTTGTATATAATCCACCTTTCCTGTAGGTAAAGTAGGATGTTGTATGTAACCCACCTTTCCTGTTGGGTAAAGTATGAAATTGTATGTAACTCACCTTTCCTGTTGGGTAAAGCAGGATGTTGTATGTAACCCACCTTTCCTGTTGGGTAAAGCAGGATGTTGTATGTAATCCACCTTTCCTGTCAGGTAAAGTAGGGTGTTGTATGTTACCAACCTTCCCTGTCAGGTTTAGTTGGATGTTGTATGTAACTCACCTTCCCTCTAGGATAGAGCGAGATGTTGTATGTAACCCAACTTTCCTGTCAAAGAAAGTGAGATGTTGTATTTAACCCACTTTCCTAGTTGGAGAAGGTGAGATATTGAATGAGGTGACCAAGTACATACAGATATTAGTGTAGTGTAACAGAATTTGTTATTTAATTTCCTTTTGTAAAGGCCTTTAACTACTGTATATAAATCAGGGATCAATATTTATGTTATCTATCTTGCTCTGAAATTTTGTCATCCACAGGTTTTCTGCTGGTCTATATGTCTGATGACATGATCAGTCTGTGAATGTTATACATATCTGTATTTTGATAGGTCCTTGTATCACTGATGTTTGATGTATCATGATTACTTCTATAATTACCTGCACACTGTCAATGCATTTAATGAACAGGTGTTAGCATCAAAATAGTATGGATGTACATCAGTCTAACATATAAATTAAGCTGATAAGTGTGACTTCCTTCATCACACTGGGATACTGAATTTAGATATTGAGAAATGGTCCAACACCTAAGTCTATATTGGGAACAAAAGCATTCCTTTTCAATATTAATATCAGTCTCACCATTATCTTTATGCTGCTGACCATATGTGCCAAAATAAAACTTTATACAAGCATAAAAAAAATTGTGAGGAACCATAATAAGTATTTACCTTCAGTCTCACGGCAGACAAGTGATTTTGTTATATATGGGTATTAATCACACTCTACACTTCTGACAGTAAGTTATGTTTAATACAAACTGATAGCAGATGGATCACTGATATTGTTTTCTTCCATGCTTCACAGGTGCATTCCCATATTTGCTAGAGGAAGATAAATCTGTTTTTCCGTACACAGTCAACATGCTCCCTGCTGTCACTGTTTACATTCAGGTTGTATCATAATTTTATTTAGGTCAACAACTGCATTTGGATAACATCATCAATTTTTATTTTTTTGGTTTTGCAAGTCATTGATGATCACAAAGTTTGGGAGAAAAATAACCAATTACCTCTGTATGATGTCATTACAACCCTGGGAATAATATGTCCGAAGTTAACATTACTCACTGGAAGAGATAATTTTGGCAACAAACACACAAATGACTCTTTCAGCCTTTTATTTAATTATGTAGATGTTACCTGTAGATGCATGATATGACTGTTGTCTCACATGTCTGTAGTTATTTGTAGTGTATTAAACAGATCTTTATATGCAAGATTGCTTAGGTTAAGGATGGCATTTTTTTCTTTCATAAATATATAAAAACTTTTCTCTTTTATGAATATTAAACGCTTGTTTTCTCTTTCATAAATACAATGAATTGCTTTAATGGTTGTTTTTTTTTCAATGATTCAAATTTTTTCTGTGTTTTACTGAAAAACTTGATGCAAAAGGGATGTATATTTCACAGAAGCTGGATAATATTTTCAATGTTCCAGTTTTTCATGTTTTTTATTCCATCAACGAAAATATTGAAAAATAGAAACCTGTTAAATACAACTTTCAGGGCATTATCAAGTCACTATAAAGGGACATTTATCAGTAGATAAACATTACAAAGCTATATCAGTGATATACAGTGTGTACATACAGATGATGAGATATATCTGTAATGGAAACTGTACCTAAGATATTAGGTTTGATAACTTTTATAACACTTGCATTTTTGTTTAATTCACCATTAAGTATTTTCTATGTTACTATATTTATTATGCAAGCATTATAACGGTGCTTTTATGATATATCCTACATGTATATATTATTCCTTATTGTGCTGTGATATAGTCTAGAGTATCGTAAATAAACATGCATTAATCAATTCTGTTACCTTTTCATTGAAAACCTATGGTTGCATGATTAGCCTTGAGTTCAGTGAAGGTGGTATGATGGGACAGACCTATATGCATTGATCCATTTTTAAACTCCTTGTTCCATCACTTTTTTAGGATGTAACGTGTTATGGCATCCATCAATCCTAAACTACTGTTTTTGAATGGTCTCTTTGGAAGGTGACTGCCATTATTATCATCTTGCAAATCCTGAAAGGAAAGTGGTGTTGAGATGGGACTTCCACTATTGAGTTGTTTATGGTCAACAGGTGCTCCAACTGACTACAATACAATACGATATCTCCCACTTGTCTCTAGTGCAGGTAATGTACTAGGGATTACTTACTAGTGACGACTTTAACATGGGTCATCATACCTGTAGCTGAACAGTAACAAAATATATTACACAAATAAAATTCCTTAAAAGGTTTTTTCACTTTTAATTCAATGTATTAAGTATAAAGAAATCAATAAGTAAAGAAATGTGGACAGATAAACATGACAATTAATATACATGACTGTAACTACACTAAATAAACCGTGTCAAGAAATCCAACACATGTGTTAAGGATCAAAGTATGTATTTAAATTACGACGCAGAAACAGAAAAAAAAAATGCTAAAGTTATGATCCATCAGATTACAAATACTCTCCAGCAGGGATAAAAGCCATGGAAATGACGGGAAATGATTGATGTGTCATTCCACCCAAATAGGTCAGACAGGAGACTACCGAGTGAAAGCCTTTAAATCCTGTAACTGGTACATTTGTACATAGGAACAAAAATAGTGTGGGGCTGATCATGAATACATTATGTACTAAATTCAAATTACTAAATAAGATATTGGGTAAACAGTAACAGATTTGATGTGTCCACAATTTTCTGATAAGGATTCATTTACACAGATCCACTAAATATATTTAACAGTGACAGATTTGATGTGTTGACAATTTTCTGATCAGGGTTCATTTACACAGATCACCTAAATAATGAATTTAATCCACTAGTATTTCTTATGGTAATGGCTGTCGATTGACACATAATAACTTAGACTTAAAACTAGATATTTTCATAACATTTAAGAAACACATATACATAATGATACAATGTGAATCATGTCTGAATGCATTAAAGGCATTAACTCCATTAAGTACAAATGATAGAACTAATGCAGACATCCATATATCTAAACCTCATACTGTATAATATAGACCCTTTATCATGTATTCACTTTCTAGTTTCTGTAGTTGACTGAATATCTTATTGAACGATTAAATAACTTGAGGAATGCATGACCAACTGAATCGCGATCTGACCTACAGCTAGGTTTTATAAACATTAACAATAAAATACCTTATACATATTGATTTATATGTTACTATTTTAAGAGAAGTAAAGAATTGATATTTGTAATTTGGACTAACTCTACAAGAGAACTTGTCAAAGAATACTATAAAAACAACAATGATTTGGATGCCATTCACAAAGATTTTTTATATAATACACATAGCTTTATATAACTACATACAGCTATTTGTCACTTTTTTAAAGTTTTTTCCTTCATATCACATTGAATGGACTTGAAGACAAAAGCACTGATATCACATATTGACTAAATCTGAAAGGGAATAATGCTGACTACTAGCTTTCTTTTCCTGTGGACAATAATTTCAGAGCTTTTGTAAGGTTGTCTATGGCTGTTGGAGAATCCTCATACTGCAGGGCACTACTTGCATATTTACAGAACTTCAAGGCTTTTTGGTACTGGTCTGCTGTCAGTTGTACACCTGCTGTGAAAGAGAATGTCAAATATTTATTGTTATAAAGAAATAGATAAAACATACATAAATAGATATTAACAAATACACAGACAAACCTTATACACCATAGGGTATGTTTCCTTCACCTTGATCTTAAAGTCCAGCAGTGGTATACATGCCTATAGGTTGAGTATTTCAAATATTTCAAAATGTCAGCTCAGTCAACCTCTTCAGTAGGACATTGCAATGTGAAAATTCTTATATCATGACTGTCTTTCTCTTTTGATGCCCAGTAAGAGTGTATATGATTAATTAGGTTGGTATCTCAACTATGTCAAAAATATGACCCAGAAATTATGCCTCTTGAGGTGTGCCACACCCAAGGGTCCATACTTACATCACAAGTGTGTTTACCTCTGATACAAAGCAACTCTATATATGGTTATGGGATGGAGATTTCAACAGTTTAAAAGATACAGCCTAGAAATTAAGCCCAGAGGGGTGTGATCACACCCAGTGGACAGTCCTTACATTGTGATTGTGTTTATCTCTTGATAACCAGCTTTGTCATATATGATTTAGGGATGAGGATTTCAACTGTTTAAAAGATATAACCCAGAAACTATGTCTCTTGGGGTGGGGCACACCCCATGGCCAATTCTTACATCATGAACATGTTTATCTCTTGATGCCAATAATTGTTATCGGAGGCTATGAGGTGGGGATCTCAACAGTTTCAAAGATATAACCCATTTCCTCTATTGGGCCCCTCCCTTCCTACCCTAAGTGGCCAAGAACTGTCATTTATACAAAGTTGATCCCCTTTCACCCAAACAGGATTCTGACCATATTTGGACAAAATCCAATTATTCCTATATGAAGAGTAGGATTTTAAAGAATTAGCAAAATTTCCCCTTTTAGACACCAACCTTTAGGTCCTGGGGGGTCAGGACACACCATTTAAAAAACCAAAGTCCTTCAAAACCAAAATGAAATTTATTTGAAAGAGTTTTTTCCGCAGGACTTCACTCTATGTCACTCTTTGTAATTGACCAAATTTGGAACCTAATTTTTAATAACACCACAGCTTTATCCTCTCTCTGACATACCAGTGTTTGCAGGTGGCATCCATGAATCTGCTCCTCCTGCTGGTTGTTGTGGCTGTTGAGGTGTAGAGGGAGGAGCATGGGCCCCAGGGGGATACTGACTACCAGCAGGTGACGGAAGGTTGAGGTTCCCATAGGAGGGGTTACTACTGCCTGGCTGCTGAGGTGGGGGGCCTGGCTGCTGGGGTGGGGGGTATGAAGGCTGTTGTGGAGGAGGATATCCTGGTGCAGGGTCTGGCTTGGAGTAACTTGAAGGTCCTGGCTGAGATGTAGATGAAGTCACAGGAGCCCCACCAAATGCTCCTACAATAGACATGCATCACTAATGAACTATATTATTTCTATCAGTATACTTTATCAGTGGTAATTTGAAAAATTTATTAATAGACTATGTAATGTTTGTCCAAAAACCTGGTAACTGACACAATCTTGAATAGGAAGAAGATAATTTTCTTGATATAATGAGTGAAAAAAGGTTTGAAAGAATTAAATCCCTCAATATTTTAAAGGAAATGTTGCAAAAAAAAAGACATGTCACAATCAGTGTACCATGGAACTGGGAGAATGCTATAACTACAAACCTAAATCATTTTGTGGGAGTTAATCTTAAGTAATGGTAAACAAAAGTGGAGGGCACATAACAACAAATGGAACACAATGGTTATAGGTCATTCAACCATCCACACTGCTGAATTTTCAGTGCTTAAGTGATAGTAATAGCCTAATTTAGAGTGACTGTTTCCATATGCAGTTAAGTGACCAAATTATTTTTACCAATTACATTTTGCTATCAGTATATATCTAGGTCCAAAATCAGAAGCTTGATACTTCTTCAGAATAGTAAGTACAGGTTATTTTTATCTGAATTTACTATACTCCGAGACTTATAATACTGACCACCTTCTTGTTCATCTTCTTCCTCATTCAATGGACCAGGGACAGGTGTTTCTCCGTTTTTCAGACACCTATGTATGTAGGCTGCTTTCCATTTTGCATACTTTTTGTTCTTTTCAATCTTAAAAAAAACCCATAAATATACACAATGTATATGAAAATGAAGCTCTTTGTTGTAGTTTGACAAATTTTAGATTCCCATGTTTCTGACAGCTGTGGACCAAGAATGGCTGATTTAGTATGAGCGAATATGAATAAAGGTTTTGGTAATATGTTTTCTTCAAAAATAGCGAGGAAAAATTTATGAAGATAAGAAGTAACCCTCCAGCAGTTTTCATTACTTAGTAAAAATGTACTGGTAATTAAGAATGAAATAAAATGAACTTACATCTTCGCTTGGTTCTCCAAACACACTTAAAACATCAAACAGCATACCCGAGGAATAAAAAGATTTCACAACATTCCTGAAAAGTAAACAAAACTAATCATTCTTTGACTCTTCTCAATGATTAATTCTAAACCAACACTGAAAGTTTGTTGTCTTACTAAATTTCTATTCAAGTACAAACTGTACAATAATGAAATAAATAAAATAAATGTTTGAAAAGCTGGATATAATGATTTCACATTTCCATTATGTTCATCATTTTTTTTTCACTTTTCAACAAATAATCAATAGGCAGACAGGCACTTGAAACAAACTTACTTGTTAAATCTACCTGCTCTGTCCTCATTGTCTGCAAACAAGAAAACTTTGAGGGCATAGTCCTCCACATGGGCTTGTCCGACTACCTCATTGGTAATTGCCTCATCTTCAGTTGATGTCTTCATCTACAAATACATTCAGCTTAATGAAATGTTGAATAAAACTTCAGAATCAAAACTGAAATTATCCCTTCCATGCATCTTTATAAAGTGACACTTCATAAATATCATGGTATGTATGACTGTAAATTTTGTGTTGTGAAACTTGTATGACAGATTGTGGATCTTCTCCATTTCTTTGTGATACATTTGATTTACATGTATAAAGGCGATCATCAGCAATTTAAGAAAATCTAACAGGCTATCACAAATACACAAAAAATTAAATGGAGCATGATGAGCATTACCTGTTCCATATAGTCCATCAATGTCACTAGGAACGTTCGACATTCAGGAGACTGTCTGTCTATTTCCATTCCCTTCTGCATTGCGTACAATCGACCTAAATTTTCAGAAACAAAATTTAGATAAACAAAATTAAAATCAATAATACCAAATAAACAAATTTTATTTATATTGGAGCTGATGACCAATGAGTTGAAAAATTCATTTTATATTTCTTTAGTTTCCAATCTGCTGATATTAGTTTCTCAGCGAAATATAGAACATTTTGGAAATGGGTACAATTGTTGTGTCAGTTTACTTTTCAGTAGGTTTTTAAATTAGATTTTGTAATAGCAGCCATTACCAAAATGTGCTTGAAACTGTGGTTGGTAGAAAAAATGTTGATATATTTAGCTATAATGACCATCAGTTACTTTGACAGTTATGTAGGTTAGCAGAGATATATTTCATCCATCACACTGTTGTAAATTACATTTTCTTTTATGTGAAACATTGCCTGAAAGCTAAATCATGCACAGGGGGCTTAAATCCTGTGTGTTTACATGTATATAGCTAGGAGTATTCTCTCTATTGACCACAGCCAAGAAAAAACTTTAAACCACCAATACCAGCATAGATATGGTAGTCAGAACCCTTTGGACTACAGCATAGAGTATGGCTGTAAATGTATTCTTTCAGCATTTTACAGAATGATGAGCATTCCGATATCAATTCAAATTCAATTCTGGATTTTTGAGTTCTTGGAATATCATAATAAATATTAAACACCATTATGTGATCTTATCATCTAAATTAAGGTATAGTGCTATTTGCTTCATAACATGTTCTGCTTCAGGAGTTGTAGTAAAGACATATACAGTTAGATGTAGTTTAATTTCAACATTGCACAGTTAAAAGCTGGGATGGTTGTTTATAAGTTGGTGAGGAAAACCTGGTGTGTGTAGCTTAAGAAATTGTTGGCTCTGTAAATGTAGCTGTCAGAAAGAGATAAGGGTCGGGCGGTACAGTATGATTATGTATACAGGTAGTTATGCAGTACACTGTGATTTTGTATATAGATAGTTATAAGTGATGCTGTTAGCCTGTGGTACTAACTTAAAATTATGGAATATGCTGTTGCATTCTTCAGTGATTTTGACTCATGATTTTCCTGGTGAACTCCCTCAAATTTTGCTGTCTCTTAGTAATGGTACTAATAACAATTTTGGACAAATCACTGATTATTTCGATAACATGACTCATAATCACTCACAATATTATGTACAGGCATCAGCAGTAAATAACTACCGAGATAGTCATTCACGACTTTCAGGACCATGATAACAGCACCAAGTCCTTGTGATACTTACAGTAGTATGCCACAACTGGATCCCGTTTGTCATGTTCTATGGCTGTCTTTAAGTAATGCTGTAAAGCTTTAAGTTTAGCAGGGAGTGGAGGTAAACTCGACATTGTTACCAGTTTCTTCCTAGACAGAACTATCTAATAAGTCAACACGAACAAGAGTTACTCCAAAGGGAGCTAACTCCTTTCACCATACACGAAAATGTACTCGTAACACCACTACAATGTCTTGTGAAAGCGGTGTCGGGATTTAGTGTCTTATTAGTTATATGACTTTCATTGTTAGAATTGAATTGATAATTTATTTGGAGATAAATACGTCCAATGTTTCAGTGTCTTTACTAACAATAGTCCATATCAGGAAAAAAATGCACTTTAACTTCATTGTCGATTTCGAAGACCACTAGATTATTAGATGAGGGTCGGATAATACATTGCAGACCCCTTCTTTGATCATGATCTAATCAAAGTTGATGAACAGACTCCAAATTCCTACCAAGCCCATCTGCCAAAATTAACGCATCGTTTTAAAAAAAAATATGATTTAGCACACCAAATTCAGTATGGCTGCGCATGACAAAGGAAACATTTGACTGAACGGAGATTTTGAGGGGAATGTAAGACATGGCCAGTTTTGTCACACAGAGAGAATTGCATATTTTCTTTTAAATGTGTTATTGGTCCTTAGAGGATATTTCAAGATGGCGTTGACGAAGCACTCATAGTCTTCCCCTTTATGATTTCGTCAGACCTTCTGAACATAGAAGACAAGCTAGAGTGCGAAGGACACGCATTTTAAACTTAAATTGAACATAAAATTGCGCATTTTGAAAAATGTACATGAGTAGAATAAAAAAACAGGAGAGGTGTGAGAACAGCTGGAATCAGTTCATCTTTGAAGACGTCAACAGAAACACTGTAATGGCCGCAGGAAGGGCATTTCATTAGACAATGGTGTGCAGAAAGAAGGACCATTTGACGACGTCATTTGTTGCAGATTTACGTCCATCCCGCGGGGTCACAGCCACTTTCGCTCTCTGCACCCTGGAACATGTCACGGCAAAATTGAAGGTTCCACATGCGACACATTGAAGACAGGACGAACAGACTAGTTTGATCATTTGATGTCCATCAACGAATATCGAGGTACATTGTAATGGCTTTAAAGTTGAGTGTCGCTCCATTGTAATCTTTAACTGCAGCGTATCAGCCTCTGATTGGTCAGTTGTTTTTTTCTCTTCTGCTGGAATATAGAATCAAATTACTTTGCTTGTGTTATGGTAGTTATTGTATATATATATATGTATCTAGCGGCATGTCGTTGACCCCCCCCCCCCCCCCCCACCACCACCACCACCCCACCCCCTTCTTTTTGTTAAGGTTTTTTGTTGTTTTTTTATTGCGTTAACGTGGTCGCGGGTGTCCGGGAATTCCCATACACACACACACATGTGTATCATTTATACTAAGTTGGGCCACACTAGTAAGTTTTGGCCTTGTTAATGGGGTTTGAAATCAGTGTCACCACCAAGTACTTAAAATTGGCGGCAGAGCTTATATTACAACAAGTGGTTTTGTAGCGTGTATGACTGATAGTGAGGTAAAATTATTGGAGTGAAAAACCATTGGCCAATCTACTTCTCACCTGGCAACTGCTTCAAGGTCTGACTGAAGTTGTTTACTGTCACTTCGTAGGCAGTGTCTTAGTTGGGATTCACATGATCGGGATTTACAGAATCAATGTTGTAGATCATAAAGGATTTATTTGATTCAAGATGTGACATTTCATTACTGGTTATTATATGTTCAATGATCTTACAACATATGTAGGTCAGGGATAAAAGACGATCATTTCCCGGATTATGCTTTCCGCCGTTTTTTTTAATGATGACGCCATTTTTGTTAGGTTCCAGGCCAGTGGTGTTTCTTTTGTTTTAAAACGGTGATTATGATGAAAATTAATGCACTTTATGTTATTGCAGTTGTTTCAGTATACGACCACTAATATTATCTGGCCCACTGACCTTGTGAGGGTCAAGGTTGAGTAGATGTTTTTATTGGACACGACTGAGGCTTCAGCATGTTGACAGGAAGTGACTTCTGTATCCGGCTAAATGGTATTATAAGGTGCTTATGTGTCTATCGTATAACCTTTGAGATAGAATGTGGTAGACCCTTCTAGTGGACTTTTAGTTCTTCAAATATCAAATTACGAAATGTATTGTATTATGGAGCCAGTGCACCTACCCATTTATATTTTTAAAAATATTTTTATCACTTCAGATTTTTCTCAGACTACTTCCAGGTTTCAAAGATTTGGTCCTGAACAACATCGACGAGTCCCAGAATGACGAAACAGCTGTATGATGTAGCATCACTGACGAGTCCCAGAATGACGAAACAGCTGTATGATGTAACATCAACGACGAGTCCTAGAAGGACGAAACAGCTGTATGATGTAGCATCAGCTGTATGATGTAACATCACTGACGAGTCCTAGAAGGACGAAACAGCTGTATGATGTAGCATCACTGACGATTCCTAGAAGGACGAAACAGCTGTATGATGTAGCATCACTGACGTGTCCTAGAAGGACGAAACAGCTGTATGATGTAGCATCACTGACGATTCCTAGAAGGACGAAACAGCTGTATGATGTAACATCACTGACGTGTCCTAGAAGGACGAAACAGCTGTATGATGTAGCATCACTGACGATTCCTAGAAGGACGAAACAGCTGTATGATGTAGCATCACTGACGATTCCTAGAAGGACGAAACAGCTGTATGATGCAGTTGGATTTATTATTTTGTTCTACGTAATTAATTCTAAACTGTGTTTAAAGGTAATGCTAACGTATGTCATTTGTACAACATTTAGAAGCAACCAAGATGGGTATTGTTGTCGTTATTTCACCTCGCGATGCAAAATACCTGGATTGATGAACAACTGTTTCATTTTTTCGTTATTTCGTGTTATATGTATTGTTTGTTTCGTTCTGCTGCTGCAATAAAACGATGTTTAGCGTGTCAAAAAGGGATATCCTCGTTATAGCTATTTCCCGCGAAATAACAGTACGTGTAACACATCATTTGTATATGCCAAAGTGTTTTCGTATGAAGACGAAACAGTCAACGTCCCCGAGAAGTTAAATTGTGACCAGCGCCTGTGGGAGAGCTAACTCTATATAGTAATTATCGTTGTATTTAGTTTTTGATTGCTGGCAGACATCATATGAAATGATGATGGATTTGGCATTAAAACAGAAAAAGGGGCAGGTGTTTGTTCTGGGAGGATAATTAGGCAGTGACTGCTTTGATGCGATGACCCAGTAGCCGTATATGTACTAGTCACCAGTGTTTATTTACATTCACCATTGTTAAATAAAACACAGAACACATGTGCACAACGGTTTGAATGCTACATAGCGTAGCGGGAGTATAAATGGGAACAATTATAAGCGGGATGTGGACTTGTGGTGCTCCCAGCATCAGTAACCTATAGTCGCTAGCTGATGGGGTGTTCAGGGAGCGCAGTTGTCGTCAACAGACATGCGTCATTGACGCTGTATTTCTATCCTGTGTTACATAAAGGAAGGAAGTAGGATAGTTTCATATTGGGGCTTAAGTTATTAAGCGGAAGGACATGTATATAGGGATGAGCTAAAATACTTCAATATCCACTGCTTGAAGCTGTCATTCGGGAAAAAGTCGGTCGATGGTCCATCGTAACCATTCAGTGTACACAGAGCTGATAAAGCATTAAAGGCATTGACGTTACTATTTCTTATATCCAGAATGGAGACACCAATATTGGATCCCAACGATCGCCAAGGTTAGTAATCCTTATATAGCGATATACACATCGTACACACCCGAACTGAGGATCTATTTCAATGCTTTTATTTCCATCTCTTATCTCCATGTCTGGTCTAATTTTCCATCCGACGGCTTCTGATCTCCCTAATTATTACTTATAATACTATTTGATATGTAAATACGTGTACTGTATCTAGTCGTTCTTATTGGATTTTGTATAGTCCTTTTTCTGTGTAGTGATAGTGCTGTAAACCGCACGGGTCCATCCATGTGCCTTTTCTAATCAGAAGCTTGATGATAAGGTAAACTACAGTTTGAACAGTCGATCTAGACATACCAGATTCGATATTGATAGAAGCACTGGCTTTATAACACCAAGGCACGTGGCGAGGCGTTGTGCTATACATAGTGAATCTGCATGCAGACGAACTAGGCCCTTGACAAAATTTCCATAAACGCGTTTGTTTCCTAATATCGCTGCGCTTTGAAAAACTGAATTAAGATATCAAATTTCCGAAAACCAACTACATTTGATCTTTTGGTATTGAAATGATTCTTTATTCCTGGGTACACGTGAACAAAAGTTTTCCGCTGCCTAGTCGACGATCGATAGAGGAACAGAGGAATACCATTGTGAAAACGGGAAGCTAGGATATGCTTTTCTCACGTTTTTCAGTATTCCGAAGTTTTGATAAGGCCACATAACAAAGGTCATCTAAAATATTTGAGAGAGGAAACACGGAAGATACATGTATATATTTTACGTAACAAAGATTAAGGAAATTAATAGATATGTGCTTTATCTAGCTAAAAACGATTGCTTAACAAGTTATTTGGGAAGACAGTCTAGTGCTGTTATTAGCCCCATTGTTGCGTTGCTGGGGATCATAAAGAAAAAAGAACAGAAGAAAAAGATTAACTAAACGATTATTTCTATACCGTTGGTGTAGAATATCCGGGATCTGTATTGAATATTCTTAAGCCGCCAAATTTGTATTGTCATGTTAAAGGGATGATTATTGTCTCAAAAACCGTCAAGGCATCGTCCGTAACTTTGAGGTGCAGTATTAAGCGTGACATTAAAAACTGAAATCTGTTATCTGTTTTCATTCTGATGTCACAAACTCGTGTAAATTGTCTGCATCCTACGAACAGATAAATCAGTACTTTAAAACGGTAAGCTAATTTATAATCTCTGTATGATGTAGAGAGAAATCTCAACTCGTTAGTAAGACTTGGGCATGCTGCGTGCTAGACGTCAGAACACTTTTCCTGGTCTACTTCAGACCTATAGAAACAGAGGATGTTGTAAACACGAGTGCCCACGTCATTAGGAAATTACTGTATGTGTACTACAAATCATCAGTATTAAACAGAATTGACTCGAGTATAAGATTATGTAAAGGGTTGGAGATTTACTTGTAACCAAAATAAAAAAGATGCAATATTTGCCAAAGATAAGCGTTAAAAGTCTTTGAATTATATTTATTACATAATTCATATGTTTGGCTCTGACTTTGTGTCCTACATAGGCTACAGCATAAAATTATGTTTATTTGTGTCATGTAGCATAAAATGATGTTACTTTGTTTCCTACAGCACAAAATGATGTTACTTTGTGTCCTACAGCACAAAATGATGTTACTTTGTGTCCTACAGCACAAAATGATGTTTATTTGTGTTATGCAGCATAAAATGATGTTACTTGGTGTCCTATAACATTTATTACATCAGTCCATTATACGGCAGGCGAGGCTGAGGATCGTTGAATTTGTGGATGTATGGATATTTTTGTGTGACAAATTCAGTGACGCGATCCAATAGTGAAACATATGTAATCCATTCAGCTTTAGTGTTTATCGAGCCATGAAGTTGGGTATCGGCCAATTGGTTTAGGGTCGAGCATTACTTGAATTCACCAAAAAGCGTGTATAGCAACAGAGTTGATCTTCATATGTTTCTATAGGTACAATGTTTTCTGTATAACTTCATCAGCCCAATACCGATTCGATGAATTATATTTGTTATTACAGGAGGAAAGGCGTTTGGTTTATTGATGGAAGAGAAATTAAAACTACTGGAGAAAATCAATGAGGTAAGTAGAAAATTGTTCCAATAACATATAAGCAGTTGATAATTTTTCATATTCGATGGAACCTTTCAGGATGTCGCACACTGAATTTTATAATGGTTCATCAAAAGTGTTATGGTCACCATGGTGATCTCATTGAGAAATATTCTTTTTCTCTGAGCGACATGAAGCTGGACGCTTTTGATGCTCGATAGTTTGCCTGTTGGTTCCCTTGTTGTATACCGTCTTCTCGTTTGAGAACGTGACATTACTTATTTGGATTGAGCAAGGTTTACATGGCAGGTGTCGTCGATGAAGCAGAAGACGCTTACTCTTCCGGAACACATGGTCTTATCCTCATTGTACTTTTTCAGGGGTCTCCGTGTGAATCTTTCTTTTATTCATTTTTTGATCTAGTTTTATTGAATTTGAGTTTGAACTGTGATTATGTCTCCATGTTGCTTTTTTTCTTGATGTTTTTATAATTTGTTGTCAAAATGATTGTGTCTTGTCAATGTCTTTAGCAAGACACGTTGTCCTAATTACTCGGAATGAAATGCGACGAGTTTTCAGTATGTTTTTTTTCTGTAAGGAAGCTACCAGCTATTACATGGAGATTCCACCTCAAAATGATCATGGCTGTTCTCATGGCGATAAACCCTGCAAATCTTAAGTTCCAATGGGTTGGTTTGTCGTTGTTATAAATTATTATAACAACTATTTAGAATTACATGTTTAGTCACTTGATTCCCATCTAATGACCTCAGATAGACATAAAAACACAGACTGAAGTACTGCCCTATCGTTTTCGTCTCATTGCTTGTCTCACAGGAGAGGAATATTTAACAGAAAAAGCAGAACAGGAAATCACTATACACTCTTGATATAGTGCTAAAAGTCAAGTATCAAATCATAAAATGAACGTTTTACGTCAACCATTGTCAATTTTCTCAAGCAGCTTGACATGTGTAACGTGAGGCTAGGATGTGGACAAACTAGGAAACACGTTTTCTGCATATAATTCTAATTATACCGTCAATTTTCAGGGACGGAAACGTTGAAATGATAGTAAGAAGTAGAATAGTATGACATGTATAAAGTTCCGGAAAGCAATGCACTAGGCCTAGTTATTCAACAATTTTCTATTTATATCTTTTTATTTATCAAAAATATTAGATATTTATTTTCAACCTTGGTTTTGTAATTTTGTCCGACATACTCTATGCACGGACTTTTTATGTGTAAGCCCAGACTTTTTCTTTCCATGGAAGCTACGCCCCATAATTACCTGTTTTCTTTCTATCAGGTACAATGTGCATCATATAATTTCTAACCATTTCTGTACTTTTTGCAGGAATTTAAAGACGATGATACTTACAAAGAAATGGAGGATCTGGAAGAGAAACTCAATCAATATAAAGGTCAGCTTTCTAGTCAAATATTACAAAGAAATACAAGGGGAACGATAGAGTGATCAGGTCAAATTTGAGAGAAGTTCCAAATTGATGTAAAAGCTTGTAATATTTTTGTTCGAAATTGGTGACAACATGTTTAAATTTCTTTTTTAATGAGCCCATGTTTCCCAAATTTCCTGAACTTGAAACGCATTTAAGATAGGGACTAAACATAAGTGTCGATGTTATATGGTGGGTTTTATAATATGATTTAAATAAGAAATATTACGAGCCTTTAGATGACTGAAATAACAAATAACGATATTTAACAATTTAAACTAATATCATATGAAACGGAGTGCAATATTTTACAATCACATAAAATTTCTGAAAAAAGTGAAAATTCTAAAATCAATTTCACTGCAATACCAATGAAATCTGTATGTGTTCTAAATCGATTTATCTCAAATGAGAGCCAGCATTCGAGGCGAATAAGATGCAGAGGTTTGGGATACGTGGTTGGGGTAGGTTGGCATACTTTTAGTCACCTTCTCTCAACATGCAGTGGTATATAGCAAACCCTTAACTTGAAGGAGACATAATTGATTTATAAGAAAAAGTAAGAGAAATCTATGCATATTTTCTGATTTTTTATGGCAGTCTTGTGGTTACAGGAAACACTATATGAAAAAAGGCGATACAGTGTATGGGTAAAAATGGGAAAGTCCAATATGTAAGAGGAAATAGTACTGCGATTATTTCTGTTGACGGATTGCCACATATGTATATACCCTAATGCACACAAAGTTGAAATAACGGCAGCTATGAGACCGATCCCTAATATTGTGTGTGCCCTCCCCGAACAGCTATAGTGTCTTATTCAGCGTAGCACGGAGTTCACAAGAACATTAGTGTCATGACATGTTCCAGGGGGTTCGGAGAGCGAAAGTGATCGTAATCCCTGGAGTATCGATGATGTCGGTAAATGCGTTGGCCAATTGGCAGATGTCATTTGGGTTGTTTGCTTAATTCCGATTTGGGACATACTGAGGCTATATGGAGGCTTATAAATAAGGAAGATGTTCTGGGTTGCAAGAAAGTCCCCACAAACTCTTGCAACGTTTTTGAATAGTGTTATCATGATGGAAGTCAAAAGGTACCTTATAATGGAAGCCATGACACGAATTCTAAAGATCTCAACTCGATAGCGCACAGCCGTTAAATTGCCGTTAGTTGTCATTAATAGTGTCTGTAAACCATGAGAAATTTCTTCTCAGACCATAGTCTACCCATCCCCAATCTATCGTTCTCCAAAACACTTCGACGCCGGTACACACATTGACAGCAATCTGATCGAAATAACGTGAATCGAGATACAACCGTGAAGAGCATAGACCTCCAACGTCTCATAGGGAGACATCGTTAATAATAACATATTTTGAGTTTCAGAAGGTAACATGTTTAGTATAAGAATACTAATCTTCCACTCGGCCCTCCAAAATGATTAATCATCAACAAATACTAACAATCAGGTACATGTTCAGTCAACAATCGCAAACGACGTGGGCGTTGATTTGCCTCTCGCAGTCTATTTCTCAGTTTTCGGGTCGATTTGACGCTTTTTTTCACCAGTGGTATTTGGTGCTGTTTTGGCTGCCGTTAATTGTGGCCTGATTGACCAGAATCTCCTGTCACGTCAATGTGCAAACCTAATGAACCGATCTCGACGTCGCGATGTTACAGATGGACGTCGAGATCTCGGTCTGTCATTGACTCTTCTGAGTCACAAACTAACCGACTTAGAGTCGATTTGTGAACTCCAAATTGAGTAACGTCTGCTTTTGACACATTCGATACTCCAGCGGTTACGATCGCTTTCACTCTCTGATACCCTGGACCATGTCATATATCAACATGAAATAACTTGATTGGTTCCAGGAGATAACAACTGACCAATCACAGGCTGATACGCTCGTTTTGAAGGTTACAAAAGATCAACATCCAGCTTTAAAACTATGACAGTATTTTGTTATATTCCTCTTAATTTCTACACCACTAAGTTTATTCGTTACAAAATATTTTGTGGTTAAAGGAGTTACTGTTCTTTATCCCTTCAATAAACATCGCGTTAAGAGTTAGTACGGAAATGATTAAATAGCTTATTTCTGTGTGTCTTGATGGTAAACAACAAAGGTGCAGAACCGTACACGTAAACTAGGTGTAGAGACCACGAATTCCGAGTATAATTGTAGTATTGCACGTGAGTTTACTCTTCAATATAGAAAGTCTTTAGTGATAAAATATATTAATTACAGCCGTTGTTTTTGTTATAGAGAAGTTCCTCGAGTTTGACCTCGACAATTCTGGAGACATAGGTAGGTCTTTTGTTGACAGTGATCAGGAAAGTATCATAACGTAAAATAATCAGTAGTGACAATTATGTCTCTAAAGTATTTAAGAAAAACGCAGCTAATATAAAAAATCTAATAGATTGGTTACATTCTAGGAATATTTTCTGTGTTGTAACAATATCAGGACTGGCATTAGATTTCGTCAGGATATAATCTGTATATAAATTCATACAAGCCTGTGTTCCATGAAAAACATAGAGTACGGTTGGTTTTTAATCACTTGTGTAGTAAAATCCCGATATTCACCCTACATAAAACTTCTACAACTCTTCTCCATCATACAACAGATTTACTGGCACTGACAAGGATGTTGGAAAGACTGAATGCAACTAAAACACACTTGGATGTGAAGAAAATAATGGACGAGGTTGACACGACGGGCACGGGAACAATATCGTACAAGGAGTTCGTCACGATGATGTTGGGCGGCAAGAAGTGTATCCTCAGGCTGTAAGTACCCGGGCACTTGACATTTATTAAGTAGGTAGTAGTGTACATGTTAAATAGTTGTAGGTCATCTATAATGTACAAATGTGATTGCAACTTTCACATTTCTATCACATGTACCTAGCACCAAGGCACTGGATTTTTTATTTATTTATTTATTTTTTTTTTTTTTTTTTGGGGGGGGGGGGGGGGGGCGAAAGGGGATGGGTGGGTGGTTCTTTACTGTTTTCCTCTGCTTACCGTCATTTCAATAATAGTTTCAACGAGTGCAGTCTTCTTGAAAAATGCTACGTACTTATTTAACCATTAAATATCGGTCCGATTGTATTCATTGTCAGTTAGGACGTCATGATTATTTATCTGGCTCCCAAATTGCTTTCATATTGACAATAAATACAATCACGGATATTTAATATTGTTTTTCCCATTCAGTTTTTTTTCACCTCTTTCGATCAATTTTTATTTTCCTCAGCTGCATCTTAGTGTTAAAATTGCAGCCTTACTATCACTGCCGAGTCCTAAAAGGACGAAACAGATGTATGGTGCAAGTTAATTCATTATTGGATTTTACTGTATATAGCTGTTGATATTTTCTTTTATACAATCTCGTAATCAGTCGTACAGTCAAAGGTTTCCGGTTAGCCGTCCAGTTTGGCTATGGGCTAATCTGTATGACCTTTGAAAAATGCATATATCCAACAAAGGCGTTAACATGTACGATTTCAAAATGGACCTAACGATTGCCATATTTAAAAGATATAATTACCCTAGGCGTGGTAATTGGGTAGATGCTTACAAAATGTGTATGTTGTTAATGTACGAATTTATGTTAACGATATTTCAGGATATTGTTTTTCGAGTCTGCTGGACAGGAACCCGAGAAGCAGAAAGGCGTGGCACCACCCCGTACTCTCGACTCTCTGCCGTAACGTCTGACATAAATAGACCATTCCAATCTGTGGAAAGTCCATTGATCGTGCTAGCGTTTATGTGTCTGGAATACGCTAGTAAAGTGTTCTTATTATCCGAAACATCATATTTCCCAATGTCATTTTGCGTAATCTGACATCTTCTAAATTATTCACAATTTAAGCGCGCAATTTCCTCTACAGAAGTCTTGCTAGGTTGCATGAATGGTTTTCGATGGTATCAACTTTCCAGACGTTTAATTTTCAATCCACAGACGGACTTCATACATTTACTTTCTAGAGTTTGGAAATAGTTTCCCCAGTCGTTACAACCTGCTTTATTCACCCGAAACAATTACTTTTCATTGAAAAAGCTTAATCATCACCCATATAAGAAACATGATTTATAATTTACCATTATAACCCATATAAGGAATATGATTTATAAATGACAATCATCACTCATGTAAGGAAAATTATTTATAATTAACCATCATCATCCATAAAAGGTAATGATTCATAATTGACCATCATCACCCATATAAGGAATATGATTTGTAACTGCCATTTTGTAATAGATCATTCACGTCTAATATGTATACATTGTGTATAGTAATGAAGCAATATATTTTCATTAACTGTCGTTCTCAACAATTAGATATGTACACTGTTGTTTTTATATAGTTGTCTGCCATATCATACTTTCATGAATTAAATTAAATATCAGTGCGATATGTATTAAAGTGGAATGTTGTTTATAGTTACATAGCATCACAAGTAGTCCATCAAGGACAAGACTCCAACAAGGAACCATTAAAATGTACACTGACTGTTTCCCTATATTTAGCTACACACATTATACAATGAAATACAAAGAAAGTGCGAACGTCGCAGTTAGTTCCGTTTCAGAGATATTGTGAGTTATGGGAAATTTTTGCCTTTTACTCAACGGCGATCGCCTCGACATGGGTAGCCCACATCTGTGACGTCATAATACCAACGCTCTCAAAACAGCCCTAGAGAAATCATTTTCGGTCCCATCATTTTCCTTATACCTTACTGACAAGATTGAGACGAATTGCAGTAACTCTACCAGGAAGTTCCCATCGTGTGTTCGATATGCGGGCTTTTTGGCTACCTGTGTGATGTATTCTGTTGACACATACTTCTGTAGGCTATGTTTAAAGTGCTACATAATAAAGAAATGACTTTTTAACAGATTCAATTATGAGTTTTCCCATCTGAGTAGACGACGTACTGTATTTGGGTGCCTGATCATTCGAGATCTGACGTCGAATAAATCTGTTTTCATAATTCTTGAATCTAGCGACGGTAAATATTATACTTTTAAAAATTTTCCTCTGGAAATTATGACGAACCCTTAATTTATACAACACAAGCTGACAACTGGATAAAATTCAAATTAACAAAAGCGTATCCACCGCTCATATCTTTTGAAATGCAGATATGCTATATTAGAACAGATACTCTAGGGCAAAGATCTATGCTCACAATGAGAGGCCACAGGTGTATTTCAATCTGCAATTATAAAAAGCCTGAGACTGAATAAGCAGGGACGTATAATACAGTATTATACGTCCCTGGAATAAGTATGTAGTATTTGTGATAATATATCTGGAATAGTTGAATTAATTAGAGGTAAGGAAGTATACTTGTGATATGTACTAACCAAATTAAGGAATTTAGCAGAGAGAGCTGTCCATTTAAGTCTCACAAAGATAAGTAATACATCAATAAGCCATCTGATCAAACTTGCACATTTCAAACATCAATATTTTTCTTCAAATTAGTCCTTACACATTTCCTCATTATAATCACTGAGGCTATTGTTGTAAAATGGAAACTTGAAAGAAGCATAACCTACACCAATCCACTAACTTCAAGTCCAGGTTACCCCATCCCCACCTATTGATATCCCACTGATCTCATTGGGCCTCTTGTCATTTCAGCAAGTGACACATGTGTTTAGTGGTATCTACACCTTTCACACCTTAATAGACTAAAAAGTGGACTGAGATGATTTAATTAAACCAAGATTCTGTATCATAACTTGTGTATATTGCATGTATATAAAGATAAATGCAACCTCAGGATTCACTTATTATTTTGTGATAACTATAATTACTGAAATATTGTATCAAAGTCTGATATAATTCAGCATCACATAAAGAAGTATCTTAAATAAATCAAATACTTTAATTGTCCAATCTAACATAGAGGAATATATAATAATGTTAATTTGTCATTATGCTATATACATATTTTGTCATTCATCTGATCATTAATCAAAAACAGCAGACACCAAAGTTGAAGTTAGTTTAAAAATACTGATACATTTTTGTATTTTTGGACAGAAGTTGTACCATGGTATGTTACTTTGAAATACAGAAATTCTTACAGGAAAACATACAGTAAATTCCTCATCAGTGCTCAGAAGCTGTTTATAATACTACCAGGCTTTGACACCCTGGAGTCGCCGTTTGGTTTCAATTATACTCACTAGTAAATTTAATTAAGCTTCTTGTACTTATAGTAATCCCTGTGAAAACGTATGAGAATGAACATTGTGTTTATTGGATACAATGCTGTTTGGAAATCTCGCTGTAAACCTTAATTCAAATATCTTCAAACTAAAAAACACTGTAGCATATAATAACCAGAGGCCAAAGGACCTTCACAGTCACATGAGTTCTATAAATGCTGTAACTTGTTTTGTTTTAAAGCAGGAAATTAAGAATTACCAATTATATTATACATTTACATGTAATTTAAATGCAATATATGCATTAAAATAAAATATTGATTCATTCCATGTTTTTAATTCTAAGCCAGTTTGAATTATTTTGGATGGAAGTTTAAATGTCATGTTCAAAAATGACACTTGTTTAGATGAATTAAAGTAAAGTTAACACCCTCCTCAGGGTAAAGAAACTGAACATCCGTCCATCATGAGCTATTTGATTCTACCACTTTGAAAGATTTTAAAATGTCAGTCAACTTGACTCCTTTTTTCCCCCGCCCCTTCAGTCCCTTGACATGGGCACCATGATATAGTTAATATAGCTAACTATTCTGCTTCATCTTCTACTTAAAAGGATTCTTCCCAACTCCAAGGATCGTAACTAATTCAGGTGTTCCTGAGAAGTCCTGCGTTACCTAAGAATCCTGTAAGAATGGGCAGACAAAAGAAACAAGTATTGTTTAGAAAAATACATGCTCCATACTGACTCTTGCAAGCTGCGCTGTAATGATTCATATGTATTAATTTTCTTAAAAAAGGTAACAGTGACCTTGCCCTATCAACCCTGAAACTCCAGCTCGTCTGAGATCATTTGGTGCTTTATAAGTGTGTGGGTGTCATAAGAATCCCTCAGGGAACAGAGAAGCTAGAGTGCTGACAAGGATTTTCTAAAAATAGTACATGTAATAGTGACCTTGAACCAAAAGTCCTGATACTTGAACTTGTCCAAGATGTTTTGATGCTCAATGAATTTGATCAGAACCCCTCAAGGAATGAAACTGCAACAGTATTGACAATCTTTCACAGATGCAGGACGGATGGACTGAGAGGAAACTATTGCTCTACCCCTCTTTCCTTCTCTTCCCCCCTCTCCTTCCTTCTCCATTATTATGGGGCCCAAGAGAGCTGTAAGCTTTGACAAACTTGAATGCACCATTGAAATGTTTACAAAAACAAAAACATCTAATTGCAAGAAATTAGGAAAAGAAAAACACATCATTTCATGTTCATCATTCAGAATACTGGCTTTTACACGTAAATACATAAAACATACAGGGTATTTAATGGTTTCCTATTGAATTAATGACAGAATATACATATTTTTCAGGAGTGCAAAGCATGCATGGAAAATATAGACATTTTTTGTCACACCAGAGAAATATATATGATATTTAATGGGAAACTATAAAATTTTCTTTTTAAAACAATTGGGTAAAAAAAGGAAAAAGAGTAATAAATCCAATCTAAACATAAAATTAAGCAGTGTTCTAAGAGTCCGGGAAATAATAGGATGTTTTTTTATGTCAGTGAAATTATGATGGACAACATGACCATTTTCAATAGGCTGCTTTCCATTTATTCAACCATTTTATGCTGTTATCTAGTGCAAATCATATTCAAAACCATTATTATATACTAAATTGGAGAAAACAAGAAATGTACACAGGAATTATTTGATGGAAATTTCTTTGACTTACACTTCACTTCATTTGCATAAAAACAGGAAAATCTGAAAATTTCAATGAAGAGACTAGAAAGCACCAATATGGTTGGTCAATAGTATGAAAGTTTTATCATGACATGAAAAGCTTTCATAAATTGATAAATTTCTAAACTTCACTGGTAAAAATGAAATGAAAACTAACATAAAAATGTTTCACATCACACTTGCAATCATATTCATTGTTAGATCTTGTTCCAGTCATTCTCCACATCAGTTTCTTCTAACGAGTTCACACTGGTCTGCTACCACAATGTCACTTTAATATACTGAAACTACATAATCGTCACACACATACACCATGCACAAATTTCAACGCTGTTGACCAGATTTACTTTTTCCTGATCTATCACAAAGAAACCTTGTCACTATCAAAAGGAATCTTTTCAGGAGGGATGAGTGCTGCTGCGACATGTCTATCTTCTGCACTTAACATGTTAAAGAGACCACAGGCCTCCTCCTGAAACAAACAATAAATTAAGGTGTAAATATCACATAACATGTGATAGACTGATGAAATACTGTATTAATATCATTTATTTTAACAAACACTGACACAAATTAAGAAGAATACCCAGAGAGATCATAGCATCCATCATTTTGAGGTCTTCATTTTTGTCACATGTTTATATAAATTGAAATTTCATCTTTGTTCTTTTTTCTTAAATATTACCAGTAAATTGATACGGACATGCTGCAATACTATTAAATGATTGTACAAAAGACACACAAGAGAATAGCACCTTGATTTCTTTCGATTTTTGAATATCTGATGAGGAATTAAAATTTTTGAAATTAGTGGAAAGTAAGAGAGAGAACCATGAGACAGATCATTCTTTCCCTGACCAGTACTTACTGTTGGTAAAATTTCTACATTGATGCCCTTTTTTTTCATATAAATCTGGATATCAGGGTTTACCTTGTCCGTTGCCATACCCTTTCCAATTACTAACATGTCTGAAATTATAAAAGGTGAGAAGGTATGCATCAGTCAAAAAGGTATAAATGAAATGAAATGAATTCCAAATCTATTTATATCAATGCCGATATTTCAACTTCACCATACTGTAAAATCTCTCATTTTCGTGAGGCTTTTATTTTCGATGATTTTACAGGTCTTCTTAATGAATTTATATGTCCAAGAACTATCAAAATTAGTAGAAGACAATGTGTACAGGTACCAGAAAATTCTTCTGAAACTTGAACAGAAGGGAGGTGAGTATTTGTCAACGCTGCTGTATCCTTCCCTATGGTAATCTTTGCATAGGCGTGTTGGAAAACTGCTTACCATGCTAGTGTTATATGTTTGTACCAAGATGTCTATGGAGCCTGAACAAACTACATGGTATATATCACTTATATCATTGACCATGTATTATGTGAAATCTTAATTACCTGGTACCTACTTTCTATGATAATGAATTGTTCCTGAAAATCTTACCCAGTTTAGGTTCCAGCATATAAAATAGTGAAAGACTGTGTTTATCTATGTGTTTGGCTGACTTCACCTGTGGAAAGAGTTTATGCAAAAATGTATACATGTTATACACATCTATGGTTTATGTACAATACATTTTTACCTGTTTACAGGTATAAAGATTGAAAATTTACAAAAATTGTATAAAACTTTATAAATAACAGATAGTCGATATGATGCACTTGCAAAGATATATATATACATATCGTCTAGACATTTGTTACAGTCTGTTACAGATTTTGATTGGTCATATTGTTGAAGTATATAACATTAACTATTGATCTCCTAACCTAGAACTCCGGAAATTATGGTTAATGTATCATGTGACACTTCCCAAAAAGAGATAAAAACTGTAATTAAATCCAATCATCATAATACTTCAGGAGTATTTGTTTCATTGGCAAATTTGGGTACTTTTAATTAATACACATTTTTACATGTCAAACATCCTCCCAGATATCATTAGATAGCCAATCTATTCAATCTGATGCCAGTATTTTGTTGTCTATAACAAGTGAAAAAATCAACTATGAATAATAGGCCACGCCTCCTTGCATTTATCTTTACTACGAAAGTCCAAACATGCACATCTTATATTGAAAAAAAATCATGATTCTAAAATGATGACTGCATTCTGATTTTAATTACCAAGTGAGTTGTAGACCAGCATGTGAAATATTACATTTTTTGAAAAGTTTACGGTATGAAAAAAAAAGTTCAGTCAGAAATGTGGCTCATTAGAGAGAAAAAAAGATAAAACAATAAAACCTAAGGTATGAAAAAAAAAGTTCAGTCAGAAATGTGGCTCATTAGAGAGAGAGAGAAAAAAAATAAACCCTTCAATCTTGTCCTTTAGAAAAGGGGCAAACATAGACACAAAAATTCACCATTTTCTTGACATACTTTTAATTTTGATTTTTCCCCATTGAAATATCATTCCCATTCTAAATGAAGATTTTATATAAAATCTAAGCACTTCTTGGCCACTATCTGGCTTACTCAAGCTTTTAAGTGTCTCTTTGATTCAGTGATGTCACCAGAAACAAAAGTGTTGACATGTTTCCAATACACAGGTCGGCCATTTCAGATTAGCAAATCTGAGATGGTATTTGTGGATATCTTTCAGAAAAATACTCAAGATTCCTTGATCACTTAAATGAAAATGTTTTATAGTATGAACATATTTCAATACTTTTATGTATAAATTCAGTTGCAAATCATTGATGTAGCATTATGACCAAGATACAATTAATAAGGGGTCTGAAACTAATGCACTTAGGACATATTATTCATGAGGAAAGTCAAAATGTTCACAATTTAATATAATATCCCTTCCAACGTCATACATGTAAAAGAGGCATAACTCTGCAATACTACCCAAGAATCAGCTGAAGGTTTTCATGAGACTTTGATTACAGTAAAATACTGTAATCATATTACATAACATAATGAAATAATCACATGAAAAAATACTCTTTTACAAGGGGCCCCTGGTACTGGTGTAATGATAAAACATCTGAAAAGTGACATGCCTATAACCTAGAGCATCTTGATTTGTTAAGATTTAAGAATGATCTTACATTCCAGTGGAGCACAGTGTTAGGAAAAACTGTGATAGGTCCAACCACTTGGATACCTGGGCTGATCTTAAATCCAAGGTTGCTGAAACTGGAAATGATGATCTTTTCCTCAGCCATAGCAAACATAGACTTCATTTTTGTTGAGGCAAAATCTGAACGGTCACACATACCTCTCACTGTGGCACTACAAATGAGAAATAGTTTTGTATAAAAATAATGGCCATTTTTGTAACAGATCTTCATGTCTTATTTTGATTGTTGAACTTGAAAACATAGTAAAATAAAGATTCATCCTGATATTTTTTGTTTTCGGTTTTTAGCATTTTCATCTTTGAGATATTATATATAAGCATCCTTTTCTTTCCCTTCATTTTTCCAACATGAAAGATTTTAAAAAATCAAGAAACATGCTTCTTTCGGCAGACACTTGAAATGAAACTGAGATGCAATGTCCCAACACCAGACAATACAACTTTCTGAACTGCGCTACTTGGTCACTTGCTCCAAACCATTCCTATACATATACATGTATATCTGTATAACCCTGGTAAAATACTAGCTGCAAGACATGTACACCACTTGACTAGCAAGAACTTCTCTTTAGCTTGATCGGTTGAGTGTCACGCTAGTAAGCCAGGGTACCCAGGTTTGAATCCTAGCAGATCTAGAGGCATTGAAATAAATAATAACCTCTGTTACATTGGCAACCATGTAGGGATTCGGGAATAATACTTAGCAATACTTTCACAAGCATTGCTGTACCCCCTGAAAACTCGTCTTTCATGGAGGGGGAGTATATAACCCTGGTAAAATACTAGCAGCAATATACCACTAGGTCAGAGAGAAATTCTCATTAGCTCGCTCGGTTAAGCGTCAGACTAGAAATCCAGGTCCCGGGTTCGAATCCTAGCAGAGGCATTGAAATAATGACCTCTGACTCGGTTACCGCAGAGTAAAATTTGCATTGATCCCCATCATTCTGTCAACACATGGGTACCTGTTTGTAATGTTACATCACCTTTCTGAGAAAGCGCAGCCTTATGTACAGTGCAAAATTACAGTACTAGGCGGACTGAGCGTCTCCGATCACACATAAAGCTATTGCGTGGTTCGTTATTTATAAGTGCTATTGAAATTGAGTCACCAGTACCTGTGCTCCGATTAAATGAAGTGAATGATTTTGAAATAAATCATGATGTTAATTATATTAAGACTAATAGAAAAACATACCTGCTACAAGGCATCAGTCTCCGACTGAAGTGCCATAGAGCACGACTTGTTAGAGTCATGTTGATGTTCTCCTCAACCTCAACCTGCCGGTTTCATAACAAAAGTGGAGAGTGATCTCCCTTAGAAATTATAAAATTAGACCCAAGCAACGCTAATAATATCCGAATGGTAAAAATTATTGCCGCTACCGAGAATTTGATATTATGTAAAATGCCACTCACCTTTTCATCTAGGCAACCAGAATGGGATTTCCCGATTGGATATGTAAAGGTGTGGTGTCACTTTAGTTGCGGACAAAAAAAGACTGATACAGAGACTCTTGAAAAAGTACATAAGAATAAGACAAATATTGGTCAACCCAATTAATTAATGTTACGTTCTCAAATGAGAACAAGGTATACAAAACGGAGTCAATAGGCAAACTAACGAGCATCAAACACGAACAGCTTCATATCGAATAAAGAAATAGCATATTTCTCAGTGAGATAACTGCTTCTTTTGATAGCCGTGTTACGAGTTTGTCTTCAGTTGACGACTTCTTGCACGAAAATCGTGACAATGAGGACAGACACTTGAATATCAAATCAAATGCGTGGCTAGAGATGAAGGAATATTGGAATCCAGAAATGGAAATTTCACAATTGGAAAGTTGAAATCATCATGCTTATTATACAAGTTGCCGGTGACAAGCTGTCCGTGTTGGTTCCGTTGTTTTAAAAAAGTATATATATCTATATATATATCTGTCCTGTACGTTTGTTATATACACGTCATCTGGTACTTTCATGCAAATGCACATGTACCCCGCCACCTATTTTATATGTTTTCATATATTTTCGTCGGGTTCAAAGTTACTTTTTAATCACTATTTTGTGGAGTCTTCTAAGTTTCGTGGATAAAAAGAGCTCAATAAGCTTCTTATACTAGTTTTAACAGTTCGTGGACATACCAATTTGTAAATGGGGAGTACTCACGAGTCAACGAAAATTATTTCCTCACAAAAATTATGATGATCTTGCAGTAGGTCTTTCGGTTAATCAGAAACAGTTATTTAAAGATTTCAACACATTTTATCATTGTGACCAGGAATGTAGGTCAAGGTGATTTATTTTCGCAAACTTTGTTGGGCTTAATCCATGGAAACCTTTGAGTCATATATTTTGATTTTTGGCTTTTTGCTTTGAGAAGAGCCTATTAAAATGGGGGAAAATGATGCCAGACAGACGATGGATGCTACACTATGGCATAAGCCTACATGGTCCTTCCATCTATGTGAGCTAAAACACATTTTAAATATTTCCTCTGGACAACGTTTCAATAAAACATTTTTGTAACATGATTGTGCAATCATCGTTATTTTCTTCTCAAGTTCCACTGTTGAAATTTATCTTAAACTTGTCTTAAATGATATTTAGATGATCCTCAAGAGAATATATATATAAAAAAATTAACAAATTTCAGAACCGGTTTGGATTGTTTTAATTGCTTCAAAACTGTATCCATTTACACTACTATAACAGTACTTTAGTTTGCTAGTAAAATAAGATACTGGTTCACAGAAGTGCCTACATTTGTAGTTAATTAAGTGAACAAAGCAACACATGACAACTTTATAATATAGATGTATAAACTCTTATTTCTGTTACAATTCAACATGTATCACTTGGACACAAAGACATAACAGATATAGCCAATATCCTGTACATCCCAGAGATTCCTTGTTTGTTAACACACACACCCTTCACACTGATACAGATTTGACATAAACAGTTTTGTGGTGAGGTGCAAGGAATTTAAATTAATATCTACAGTTTTAATACAAACACTTATCAAATGTATGTACATTTTCTAAAACATATCCGTTGATAAAGTAGCTCATAAATCTAAGTGGTTTAATGAATTCACTTTAAAAAGAAAAAAAAAATAAATAAATTTTGAACCAATGTATCTATCTACGAGTATAAAAAAGTGTTTAAAAAAATTCTAAGGTTCTTTCTAAACGTTTGTTATTTTTGTTTCTTCATAGAAAATAAAACAATGATCAAAGAAATTAAGCAATGATTAAAGCATCATATGTTTTTTTTATAATGAATAAACATACAACCAATGGAATAATCAGTATGTTACCACTCATGTGATGTCAATACATTTACATGTACAAGTGCCTGATAACATGTCAACAGCATTTTCTTACAAAATCTTCAGTCTGCAGCAGGTTGATCAGTTAGATGGTATCATAACACTAGCTAAATAATTATTCAATTATGATGTAAATAATCACTTAATCCTAAAACCTCTATTTGTTTACATCCTGTATGGCATCAACTTAAAAAAAAATTATACATAAAGATGAAAGACAACAATCATAATATACAGAGACACTCCTTAATATCAGACAGATTATATCATACTACCAACCACATACATCATATACAGAGGATTTCAGGCAAATTTTTTCATTTACACTGTTTATATTTCCTTATATTAGTGAGCAAAAATCCAAATCTCATTGCAAGTTTTAGAAAAAATACAAAAGTCTTGGTTTTCAAGACAACTTCATCTCATAATTTTTTCACATATTGCAGACCCCATGCTTTTTTCATGTCCTTCCTAAAATGTTTGGCTTTAGGAAAGTGCAAGGCATGTATACACTTAATAACAGGCAGTTACATCATTCACACTGGAGATGATATACTTGTACACAGAACAACAGATATTGGTCACATAGGCACTTTTATGTAGAAATCTGGGAAATAATTAGAATATATCGACTACACATGATACATGATCACCTCAATAAAACTGGTGACACAGATCAATTCCAGGTTAAGACAATAAATCAGAAAATATATGTCATTCAAATAGCAGTCCACAATAAATAAATAGTATTTCTATAAATGCATGTTAGGCCAGGAAATTCAGTAATCATAGATACAAGTTGTTCATTCTGCTCCTTCAGTCAACATTCCACTGAAAAGATAAAAAAAAACATGCACTCTTATATGTATGGACCAGCTTAAAAACATGAGACAAGATGGATCAAGAGACACATTTTATTACAGTGCTACCTGTTCTGAGATACAACAAATCTAAGCAAACCTTTCTTGTGAGAATGGTCTGAGGTGATGTTTCTTGTGAGAATGGTCTGAGGTGATGTTTCTTGTGAGAATGGTCTGAGGTGATGTTTCTTGTGAGAATGGTCTGAGGTGATGTTTCTTGTGAGAATGGTCTGAGGTGATGTTTCTTGTGAGAATGGTCTGAGGTGATGTTTCTTGTGAGAATGGTCTGAGGTGATGTTTCTTGTGAGAATGGTCTGAGGTGATGTTTCTTGTGAGAATGGTCTGAGGTGATGTTTCTTGTGAGAATGGTCTGAGGTGATGTTTCTTGTGAGAATGGTCTGAGCCAATGTTTTCTTTTGAGAATGCTCTGAGCCATTGTGAGAAGGCATGGACCAAACGTTTCTTTTGAGAATGCTCTGAGCAATTTTTGTTGTGAGAATGCTCTGTACTCATCTTTCTTGTAAGAATGCTCTGCAGATCTTTCTTGTGATACTGCTCCCAGCCAATGTTTTGTGAGATTATTCTGTGCATATCGTTCTTGTGAGAATGCTTTGAGCCTGTCTTTCCTGTGAGAATGCTCCAGCTGGTGTCTTGAGAGATTCTAAAAGGCCTTTTCGCTTAAGTTTTAAGGAATGGATCAGAAAGTCTATTTCATCTTTCTTAATAGATTCACCAACAGGATAATCAGAGGACAAAATTTATTCCTTATCTTATGCTCTTTAACAACATTATAACATTGTCATGTTTATAGATATATATACACACTATATGGCAATGTAAACTAATATTTGCCTTCTTTTCTAATTTGAATCTAAACACATAATTTACAAACACAATCATTTCACCATAAACTCCTCAATAAAATGAAATGATCTTAAAAAACTTTAGAAAACAAACTTTAAGGTCTCCTCCTCCTCCCCCTCCCATTCTGGCTCGTTTATTTTCCTCTTCTTCAAGCTTTTTTTGGGCTTCTTGTTTGCGTTTGACTGAGGCTGGGTCCTTGATTCCTCGGTTGGCTGCATTCTCTTGTCTCTTCATGGCTGCTGCTGCCATATTCTCACGTCTTGCTTCCTTCATATCAATCATATCAGCACAAATTAAAATAATAAAATTATAAATTACATCTATCAAAATATAACATTATCTAAGTTTGTAACTGTTAATTTGCAATCATTAAATGAGAAACAATCCTTAAGTAAACTGACCATTTACTGACCAATAAGAAAAGAGTATGAAACAGCAGAACAACAGCACCACTAAAGACAGCAGGTGACTGTTACACAATGAATCTCACTTATGAAGAATCAATATCTTAAATTAAGTTTAAAATTGACGTCCCATCAGGCCCTAGTTGCTCAAAACTTGGCTAGGATTAACAGTGGTCATTGAAAATTTTCAAATGTTAATTAACCTGAATTCTGAAGACCTTGAAAATTCTTGATATTCAAACCTAAAGACAGCAGGTGCCCGTTACACAATGAATCTCACTTATGAAGAATCAATATCTTAAATTAAGTTTAAAATTGACGTCCCATCAGGCTCTAGTTGCTCAAAACTTTGCTAGGATTAACAGTGGTCATTGAAAGTTTTCAAATGTTAATTAACCTGAATTTTGAACAGTTATTATCATGTTACAGAGGAAGCTTTCATGAGAGAGGTCAGAGTGATAGGTTTGGATTGCAAGTTTTCCTTCGAGTCCTTGTTTTCTTCCATGACAACAAATTAAACTTTTCACTACTCACTGATTAACTCTTTCCAACTTTGAGCAACTAGGGCCAAGTTTTTATAAAGTTAGATTGTAGTCATTTGGCAATTAATTAAAACAATTGATACTTATATTTTAAAGCTTCTGTCTCCTAAAACAAAAAAATAAATTTCAATAAAGTTTATAATTTCTGTGCATGTTGCTATATACATGTACTGACTCCCTAACTGACACTCAGTTTTAGTGATGGTAAGGACTGTTTACCAGGTTGTCAGTGTAATGTGACTTCATGAAGTGCCATGCTATATGTACATACATAACTAACCCCCTGATTGACATCCAGATTTAGTGATGGTAAGGACAAGTTACCCTGTTGTCAGTGTAATGTGACTTTATGACGTGTATACATAACTAACCCCCTGATTGACACTCAGTTTTATTGACGGTAAGGACTGGTTACCCTCTTGTCAGTGTAATGTGACTTTATGAAGTGTATACATAACTAACCCCCTGATTAATACCCAGGTTTAGTGATGGTTAGGACTGGTTAACCTCTTGTCAGTGTAACATGACTTTATGAAGTGTATACATAACTAACCCCCTGATTAACACCCAGGTTTAGTGATGGTAAGGATCTGTTACCAGGTTGTCAGTGTAATGTGACTTCATGAAGAGCCATGCTACATTGTACATGTACAGAATCTTCATTTACATATATATATAATACTGATAAAACACTTGCCACAACATACTAGTCAGGTTAAAAAAAAAAAAAAAAATTCAGTTCAATCAGTAGAGTGTAAGAATGATGAGTCAGAGGTTCTAGGTTCAAAACCTAGCAAAGACATTGGACTAACTAATGTCTTCTGTTTGTGTTACAAATTTATATGTGGAAAGTGGTATACATTTCTTTTGTATCTGGGTGGAGATAAAGGGGAGAGCCTTGTTCTGGGCTGGGGACGCTAGATAAGTTATGCAAGGGTACTTACTGTCTTTCTATATATATGTTGCTATGGCAATACCTGAGAGCTATTTCTATTCACAGAGATTTCCCTGACATTAATACTGTGTACAAAAATGGGAAACTCAGATCATCAGATCATGGCACGACATCCATCATGAACCTGTGGTCAAAGCTTCTTCGTATTTTAAACAAAAAGAAAAACATGCATAGAAATGGTCGGGCTAAACTTAAAATTGTATGCCAAATCGCTACCTCATAACACTCAGTTAATTGGTCAAACAGAAAGTACATGGAGGACAACAGAGACCGTATTAACAGTGTCCGCGGAAATATTTAAAAAATAACACCATAAAACCAAAAACAAATTTAGGAATATGCGAACTTACACGCGTTTGATTATCATCGTATGAGGAATCAGAACCTCCGTCGAAACAAGGAAAACATATGCCCATTCTTGAGAAATTTTGACAGATTGGTAATTGTACGTGATGTAAGCGACTCAAACTATGGTAATTAGGGCACGTCAAATTCAAATGAGAATATCTTAGAATAATAATTAAAGTTAGAAAAAATCATATCTTAATTTTGAAAAATGCACACTCTACAGTAACAACGCAAGAAAATAAATTATTACATTAATGATATTTCCATTTCCGTATTCCGTGCGCGAACTAGAATCGCCTTTCCGGAGCCGCTTATGTATTGCAGAAAACAACAAATATTTCTCTGTTGTCGGAGACCAATTTGTGTATGGGATTGATATTTAGGTAAGCCATGCTAGATTTCTTCAGAAAAACCTCACAGAAATGTTATTTTAAACATTACTTCTGCTGTAGAATTAAATACGTTTGTACTTGTTATTTAAGAAAAACCTGGTGATTGCACTAAAAAATAATATGTGAACAGGTGATTGAAGATATCGAGTTACACACATATAAACGATGTGAAGTAAAGTAAAACTATGTATCATAAAGCTAAGACTTAAGAGTGCATCGGAAAAAGTTGTTCACTCATTTTTACTTAATGTGACGTAAAATCCCTCATCTGCAACAAATTGTAGCGTGAAATCTCACAGACCAGTATGTCACTCTGAGTCCCATGATAGAATTGGGCTTGGCCTTCTGCTTTTAGCAAATTTGCCAGATTAAGCAAATGGATCATCGTTATACTGTTTAACATAACCTGGTTGGGTCCTATTGTGGATTGCCTATCAGAGCAGTCAAGGAAGTTGACCAAATTATGTGGAAAGAAATACACATAAACATTTAGAAAACAATTAGGAATGAGTCAATGATGACGGGGTGTAGTATGTCATTGAGAGAATGCCAGACATTTCACCCCAAAGTTGTTTCACACCATGACGTTCCACACCCCATCAGCTGGTTCTTACCAAACTGAAAATTCAGAAATGACATTTCGCCCTCAATGAAAAATACTAGTATCAATTATGGAGAAAAATACATGTTTGCCCAAAGTTGTTTTTGAAAGTGTAAAACCACGTTAATTTATCATATGTCGTTGTTTTGACAAAAAAATATTACAGTTAATGATGTAGACACATGACACACAAGTGCTTCTTGCGGCATGCTCAGCAAGAGAAGATGAAACGATGGAGGAAATTGGTGTGCTCATAATGAGAGTTTTGGTGTTTTCGATACAACAAGTAAATGGAGGTATAAGTGATGGTTACTCCAGAAATCAATTCTCAACCATGTCATGTACAACATATACCTGTAAATATAAATCAATTGTCTTTCCTTAAGATATACATGGTGAATGTGGAATGAGCAACAAATTGTAATTAAAAAATATCATTTCTTTGTGTTCAATCTCAGTAAGGGATACATTTTTACCTAAATACCATTGGAAACCATGATTAAATGGAGTAAACTGTAGTTTAGATAACAAGTCTTTACTTCCTGGTTGAATGAAAAGTGGAAGAAATCAAGCGAAAGAGTTTAACATTTATCTTTATCTATACACAAAATGTAGACACAGTGAACATATAAATAGAATTAGTTATATCTATACTCATAATAAAAAAAATAGGGTGCAAACATTCGTGGCATTAGGAGCGAAACGTTGTGGTGCGAACGATGCTGGATGCAAAATGACTTTGTGCAAACCTGGTTGAATGCATAACATCAGGATACCATATATAGATAGGGACACCATAAAGAAGCCCAGAGTGGTGTAAAATTGAGTGACTATGAACTCAGTACATGTAGGTGGCCATTAATACCTATAGAAGTACTGTACAGTAAAATAAATCCAAACGTATCACTTGGACAAACAGTAGTCATAGATAAAGTTAATTTAAACATCAAAATGTGAACAGGCACCCTCTCTAAATTCACATTGTCAGCATGTACATAAGTAATTCAGATATATGAAACACAAGTGTAAAAACAGTACAAGTGTATAGAATAGTATATAGAATGTCTTTAACTGTGAAAAAAGGAAGTAACAATAGTATTGTACTATGTTGACATAAGTGATTAAATTTTCAATAGCTACATAGAGGTTTCACTAAATAACATATACTGCATCACCTCGTGCTGTAGTATACTTTAATTTAGAACCAAAACCTTTACTGAACTAACATGGATTCTATTCTGAATAATATCAAAATTAGATATCTTATATAACAATAACTGAAACATGAAATAGCAGAAGTTAGATTATATTTAAGGATATTTTTTCTCACAATTAAATATTACCTCCACATATATTCACTTTGAACTTGTATTGTACAGTATGTTAAAATTTCTTGCAGATTTTGGAGGTCTGTTCTGTCCAAATATTTTGACTGCCACCATTACCTGGTAGGTTCAGTGGTGTAGAAGATGAACTGATTATCATTCAGCATGCTGTGATCATACACCATGTTGCGACACAGTGTCAAAAAGAGGTGAGAGAATCCGTTTTTAAAAGATCGAACACAGAAAGATTGAGTTCATTCGAAGTATACTGATACAGTTAGTATTATACATACGACAGCTATACCTATACAACCTGGTCATTCATACCTTAATTACCATGCCTGGTTTTACATGTATGAAATTGTCAAACTTGTATGACCTTGTTTACACGTAGTTGTGTGGACTGGTCATCATAAAAAAATCAATTTCCCTTTTGTAAATTTTCCATTTCTTGAGAGCAACATTCCTGCATCCGCAGTCTGTGGTGTTTACATGTCATAAGTGAGTCGACATTCAAGGGCTTCTTTCCAATGTCACTGTTTTGTGCAAGATGTTGGCAACTAACTTTGATGGTCGTCATATTATATAATGGTCTCATTAGTAGCGAATATTCTATTTTTGTATGCGATATAACCTTGAATGTGTTTGATACTTGTTTGTTTACCTGATCGTTCAGTTGTTGTTTACAGTGTTCTCGTGTAGAAACATGACATTACATACTGTACTTGGATTGACAAAAATTTACATGGCAGATGTCATTGATGAAACAGAAAACACATACTTGTCCAGAGCATGTACACCTTGTCTTATTCTCCTTGTCCTTTTTTCTATTTTCATATTTTGCCCAAGTTTGATTGAATTTGAGTTTGGATTATGATTCTATCGAAATGTTGATATTTTCTTCTTTTTTTTTTGTATGAGTTTGCAACTGTTTAAACTGGTCATGCCTTGATAATATTGTCATCATGCTATAACAATCTTCCCATACCTGTGCAAATGAGTTATATCTGCAGTCTAATTCTACCCTGTATAGAATGTGTAAACTGGTCATAAACAAATATATAACTATATAACCTGTCTATACCTGTGTATAAATAATAAAAGTACATGTATGAGATGGTGACTGATCGTACCTTTCTAAAATGGCCAGAACAAGTCTGGTTCACATTATAATCTTTCTTCAATCTTTATTTTTACTCCAGTGCTAGAGAGAAGTTTATATTTGACCCTACACAGCGATGGCTGTCAGACATTCGATGGTCAACGGAGACAGAATGTATGAGCGTTTTGCAGGGGAAGTCTCTCCTCACAGAGATGGACAAGTATAGCCTTCATGCTGCTGTAGTGAAAAGTATGTACATTCAAAAATCAAAAGGAGGGGAATGAAAATTGTAATGTCAATCTGAAGGACATTAAAACATTTGAGTGATTGATATCAGGAATGAGGTTGTCTGTTGGTCTATTTAATGCTGGAATAATATGTATGTATATATATATATAATTTAAAAAGATAAATCTTTGTGTATCGTATATACAGAGAAAATTAATCACTTCACATGACAAACAAATATATCACTAACGTTTTCAGGCCTCGCGGCCATCTTCAGGTGATTAAATTACATGTACACTGTACATTACTTAGTAACCTACATTGTGAAGTAACATTACAATGTAGGTTACTAAGTAACCAAATCAACATGGATGCCATCCAGAATTGATTTTGTAAAACAATTAATTGATGATGGACTTTCTCCACACATTAATGCTAAATTAAAACCTACACAAAATATAAGTGATTTACAATATTTCCATTATTTGTAACAGATTGAGACTGATTCAATCTTCTCCCTGTACCCAGTAATGGGCTCATCAACAATTGGATGCATAGGTCTGTGAACCTTGCTGATATTTATACCTTGTTTTTATTTTTTTGTTTCCTCAGATGGGATTGACACGATAAGAGATGACTCTCACCACATCAGCAATGAGTTTACAAAACTCTTTAAGTGAGTTTTAACCTTAAACAGACTGCACTATGAGTCTGATATAAGTCTAATAAATGGATGTATATTATCTCATAGTAAACAATTATCTTGATACTTAAAGATTGTATTTTTTTGTTATAACTTGTTGATGATGTAATTATAAGGAACGATTTGATCATATGATTGTTTACTGACAATGGAAGGGGCTTGATGTTTTGTTTATCAGCTTTGTGTCTTTATAAAACTGATTGTAATTTGTATCGATGTACATTTCATTGTTTATCTGATTCATAGGTATGTTGAAGCTGAGAAGTGGTCAGCTGTGCGGTCACTGGTGATACAGCTGACTTGTCATATCCGGTCACTTATCCAAGAATGTAACCTTTGCCTGCCGGAGCCACCTTCGTATATACTGGAGGTAGGTGTATAAAATGGTTGCATGATTTTATGACCTTACATTTTTGTATGCCTGTTGACGATGGGTAGAATTATGGTATACTCTGTGCTGTCTGTTCATTAAGATTTCCTTGTTAGTGCTCCCTTACCTTTATTTATAGACTGACCTTACCTATATTTCTAGACTGACCTTACCTATAATTATAGACTGACCTTACCTATATTTATAGACTGACCTCACCTATATTTATAGACTGACCTTACCTATATTTATAGACTGACCTTACCTATATTTATAGACAAACCTTACCTATACCTTGACACACTTTCAAGGTCATAGGTGTCAAATATGTAAAAAAAATCTTCTTCTCAATAACTGAAAGGTCAGGGGTAATGATATTGGGCCATAAGCCTGTATCTTGCTGAGATGAAGAGCTAACAAGTTTGTGTAAGTAAATGTCCTTGAACCACTTTAAAGTTCACAAGGGTCAAATTTGTTTTTTTCAAATGACGTCTTCTCAATAATCAAAAGGCCCAGTGGTCTGATATTAGGCCTGTAGCATGGTGAGATGAAGACTAAGTTTGTTCAAGTGAGTGACCTTAATGCACTTTCATGGTCACAGGGGTCAAATGTCTGAGTAGTTGTAGTCATTTTCAGTTGGCATTCAAAAATCAGGTTGGAACTCCGTTGTCAAGGAGGTTCAATGTTTTGAAAACTTCAGTGCTGGCCCCTTAGAGTTGAATTTGTTAAAATTTCTGCGATATCATTTTAATCCACACTTGCTACATACATTTCTCTGCAGGCTTTAATTTGTATGCTTGATATTGGATAAATCAGTTTTGTCAAGTTTGTGGTTGTCATTTGTTGAAAACAAAAATTGAACTGAGGTGACCGTTATGGCATATGGGCCTCTTGTTTTATTTAACAGTTATGATAGTGTGAATTTTTGGTTAGAATGCATTATGAAAATTTAAATACTTACTGATGGAGGACTGGGTATCACAGCAGCGGTATCTCTTATCTTTTCTACAGCATCAAGAAACAGTGATGGGTGAATGTGCCAAGCTAGCCCAGCAGGTAGATAGGTAAGTCAACCTCAGTCCCAGTCTTATCAGAACAGATACCAAGGTAGATATGTATGTAAATGTCTTCAGTATACTGCTGTTGGTACTGACAAATGAACCATAACAGATATATTTTCACAATCTTCATGTCCTTATTTTGGAATGTATCATACTATACTATTAATCATAATGACACATTTGATTTGTGTGTGAGTGTAATTATGGTCCTTGACGAATGTTGAAGCATGCAATGTGTATTAGATTTCTTTTTATCTTACATTGGTACAATGAAAATACATCATAACTGGCACTAATATATAAAGTGTTGATTCAGTGATGTTTGTTGGATTTGTATGACCCTTCTGTTTTTTAGATTGCTGTGAAATGTGTTATAATATGTTTGTTTCTTGTTGATCAATGGGATCTCCGCTGATCGGTTTAGTTTGTGATTATAATAACACTTACAAAATTACATGTCTTTAGATACAGATTTATCCCCCACGGATCTATTATCAGTTTCCTCTATTAAGACTAGAAGGTTTATGAGATTTATTTCTATCTTTCATGAGAAATTGAAATGAATGAAGTGTTTTTTTCTATTCAAGCACAGTCGTTTTTCTTCCAAATCTTTTTTTATACCATCAGACTTGTGTTAGAAATAACTTTAATTAGATAGAATGCGAAGATGTTTTGTTTTTTCCAGAAAGAGCATTTCTTCAAAAGAAGACCGTACACCACCTAAGATCCCTGTCACTAACCAGCTGACATTCCTGGGTCAAGCTTTCAGTCGCCTAGTAGACCTGGCTCTTGGACATCTACTACAGGTTTGTCTTGTCTTTCTATAGGAATTATCATGAATAAAAACAATGAAGATCAATACTTAGAAAACATCAATTATGTTTCATTCAAATCATGGATTTAGGCACTTACTATAAAGATGTTAGGATGATTTCATGATTTCAAATTAATGTGATACATACAGGACAAAAAACGTCAAGGATCAGGAAATTGAAACAACATTGTTTTTCATACTTAGAACTGTGATGATATGTTTGGTTACAGTTTAGTCATTGATTACACATTCATATTTCATGTTAAATGTTACTTAGAGCAGATAAGAAGGAGCTCCCTGTAAATTAAAGTGTTCACAAGAATACAACACCTGAATCACAGGGACAAGAAGTTCAGAAAATGACATTAGAATCTCAATAGAGAACATGATCTCTGTTAACCTTACAACTGCCCTGCAACATTTGCACAAGCTTCTTATTAGTCATCTGCGACTGATCTGTGGGATACATTGTCATTCCTCTCGTAGTGCTGTCACAAGCTCATGGTGGTTTTATAGAAGGTTTGCCGAAGCTGAAAACCCATTATTGCAAGTAATCCCAAGCATGCTTGATTTGGTTTAAATAAGGAGATGGACTTTGCAAGTCTGAAGGACAATTGTTTCCCTCTGATGATAGTTGTCCACATTGGACCTAACAATATAGTGTAGAATCTATTCCTTGTAGTAGGCAGTGATTAAGGCTTCATTGTCAATGATGTAAGGGTCTGTATAGAAATAAATATTGATTCCTGCCTATCCAATGACACAAGTGCCAGTTTGAATTTTAGGACAGCCAATTGTTGTCCAGCTTGCTGATAAACTTGTCAGAATAGGTCACATTGTTAGTCTTTGAGCCATAGAATTAGTAGCATGGAGTCTGTTTCTAACTGTCTGTGATGAAATCCTTAGATTAATGGCCTTTTCAAATTCAATGTTTAGAACACTGCACAGATCAATATGGGCAACACATCATTTCATCTTCGAACATATCGTGATAACACTTTATGATCCGTGACTTATTTTGTCCAGTATATTACTACTTGGATTGATAATTACAAATCAATCATGTTCAATAAGGAAATTATAGTGTCATCAGTTAATTAAATAAATATCATCTATCTGGGAAATAGGGCACAGCATATGAGCATAACTGTGTTTGGTTTTCATGTTACAGAAGGTGGTAGAGACTCTGGATGAGGCCAACAATCTTTCGACCCTGTCAAGTGCCCTGGGGACAGTGGTCAGTCTCGGACTTGAGGGAGAACACATGTGCTATATATTTGCTAGGGTAAGATTTTTTATTGACAAAATCATGGAAATGTGAAATGTGTGTTACCCTGATCAAATACTAGCCACCATATACCAATCAGCTAGAGAGAACTTCTCTTTAGTTCGATTGGTTGAGTTCAGCCTTGTAAGCCAGAAGTCCTAGGTTCAAATCCTAGCAGGACATTGAAATTAACAATGACCTTTCTTACACTGGCACTTCTGTAGTGACTCATGAATAATACCCAGCATTACTTTCACAAGCATCTACAGTGTTGTATCTCTGGAAATCTTGGATGAGTTGATGATTTCCTATAGGGGGAGTATTTAACCTTGGTAAGATACAAGTTGTAAGGCTCTGGGCACTACTGAAGTTTTCTTGAGATTATGTATATAATATTTACCAGGGTAAAGGTTTCTCAGGTGTCACCTTCTATAATAAGAGATTATCTACCGAGGTAAAGGTTTCCTGGGTGACACTCTCAGTAACAGGAGATTGTTTACCTGGAAGTTTTTTTTTGTGACATGATATCTAAGATATTTGTCTTATAATGTTATACGTGATTAGTTGGTATGTGAAGAAGGATAAGTTCTGAGAAAGTTTAACGGAATAAGAAAAATGTTATTATTGAACACCCCCACAGCTCATGTACATTGGAAAATAATTGAATTTCATGCATAAAAAAGAGAATATCCATCAGAATGCCTTACATGTTACCTGAAATGAGTGTGTGTAGAATTAGTGTTATAGTATAGTACATGCAATTACTGCAGATATGAAAAATATTAGAATTTGTTACTGAAATAATATTTCAAATTACATTTTCTACTATGTTCATTATTCAGGAGGGAGGTGTAAGGGCATTACTGGACATCTGTCGGACAGAGTCCTTGAGCTTCGTACATCCACAGACTCTAAGGGCCCTGGCTACCATCTGCTGTGTTGCTGAGGGAATATTTGAAATAGAAAAGGTGAGTGCGTCATGGAAAGCCATTGCCTGATTCTGTGAAATACATGTATGCATTTAGGTAAAATGTAAAATTGTTGATTTTCTATTTTGAAATTAGCATTGTTTTTGCTTTTAACAAGACACTTACTGATTGTAACAATAAACCACCCTACCATTAATAAGCAGATACACAATATACTGTGATTTAAAAAAGAAAGCGGAGAAACAGGCTGGTCTGTGTTGTAGTGGTAATGCATCTATGGCACAATATTTGTAGGTGTGTGACAAGTCTCCCATGGGTTGTTTTTCAAAGGTCCAACAAAATTTGTTGCTTGACAATATATGACAATTTTTAGCTTAAATTTACTGTAAATGGTTATGTGATGTTACAGGAAGGAGGCGTAGAATGTCTGATGGACATCTTATGTGACTATGCTAACAGTGAAAAAGTGCGAGGAGAAGTAGCAGGAGTATTGGCACAAGTTACCTCCCCTTGTCTTGAAAACTTTCAGCAATTATCAGGCTTGGTGGAAAATTTAGATGAAATATTGCGGGCATTGATAGGTAGGTCATCATTGAATGTTTATTATTTTGACAGAGAATTGAATGATATTTGAAAGTATTAAATAAAATGTTTGCTGTTTAGTTTCAGAAAATTATATAACAATACTTTACAGATCTTCTGTCTTTTCCATTAGATTTTGGTATGACACTAAGAAAGTGAACTTGTAGAACAATATTTTTTTAGGGTTTTTTTTTGTAATGTGATGTATTTCAGTTTGCCTAATTACATTTGAATTGTGGGAAGTACATGTAATATTTTAAGTTTTTAGGATAAACTAGATTATTAATTGAGCAATAATTTTCAATTTCCATCAGAATTCTTATAAGGATGCTACATTACACTGTTATGTTTAAATATCAGGTTTATGTGCCAACACTCTGTCCCATGAAGTGTTCCTGTTATCATCAGCAGCTATTGCTAATATCACGTTTATGGACAGCATGGCTTGTGATATTCTGCTTAAGTATGATGCACCTCGTGTTCTTATCCAGTCCTGTGGTACAAGTGTAGCACAATCTCTCTTCGCCAAGGACCAGGTATATTTAGGAAATCACCTGTTAGTCTCAGTATATTCATTAGAAATATACTTCCTTATTAACCAATGGACAGATTAAGTATTGCTACGTAATTATGAATCGTTTGCTGAATTAATTAATAACCTAGAATACAGGTAATTAACTTTGATATCCTCAATGTCTGCTAAACAAGTGTCATGTAAGCTTTGTATACAGTGCTAATCATTTCCCAACAAAAAGAGGTACTGATAAAGACACTGATGATAAAATAAAGGAAAGTGTTAAGAAAAAGTACTTTGAAGCAATCAAAATAGTGTGAGTAAGTGATATGACTAATTTGACGAGAAGCATCACATACAGAACTACACAGTCTCCTGTGTTGTTTTATATATCACAGAACAATGGAACCTTATTTCTATTACTTGTATTACTTTTAGATTATACAGTATCAATGTCCTTCTTAGCTCACTAGGAAGATATTTAAACATGCAGACATATGATATTCCAAATCATTTGGTTGTTATGGCATTTGTTTTTCTTTTATCTGATTTATTACATCTTCATAATATCATTTAAACATGTTTCAGGTGGCTACAGTCCTTGCCAATATGGTAGCTGTTGACAACTGTAGACAGTGTATTATAAATAGTGGTGGCCTTGACCTTTGTCTGCAGCTGCTACAGGAACGACCTTTGACCTATAAGTCAGCAGCTGAGACTGCAGCCTGTGAAAGGGTTCAACAGAAGTCTGCCATTGCCCTGGCTAGACTCTGTAGAGAGGAGGAGATCGCACAAATCATTGTAGAAATGGAAGGTAGGATTCTTAAAAGATATGTATACTAGAGGAAAAAGAAACTGTGCATGGGTCTAATATGCTGAAACTTAGGAGATAAATAAGAAATCGCCAAAAAAAATTTCAACAGGGGGAGATGAACGACCAGTATTTCTGGTTCTAAAGAAAAAGATGAACCACAAGGGCCTATAACAGTTTTTCTGGGAGATGAGGGCTTGTATGTTATACTATAACTAGTAAAGGGACTAACAAAATACCAGAGAAACATACGTAGCTACATCAGGGAATTTACCAGTCTTGTTTCACTACATCAGGGAATTTACCAGTCTTGTTTCACTTTCAGTGTAATGGTAAGATGTGTAAATTTAGCCTGCTTTAATTTATGTTGTGTTTTTCTCTAGGTTATTTATTTGTGATCATTTTGGTACCAAAGATGTAAAAATTGAATGGTATATATCTGAAAACCGACAACTGAGGGTGGTGAATTTCTCTCTGGTATTCTGTTGGTCCCCTTTAGTTATCGTATACCATACAAGTCCTCATCCCTCAAAAACATTACTACAGGCCCCTGTGATATAAAGCCTACACCAGGGCATTTTAATCAGTTATTTGGCTAATGGGATAAACAAAACATATCATGACAGTTTAAAAGTTTGGATCCTTTGTGTTTAATTTTCTTGTGCTTTGCGGCTGATATGATAATATAAACTACGTAGATATGATGTGTATCTGATTAATAAGTGATTGTTTTGTTACTGTAGGTATACCCCGCCTGGTGGAGCTTTGTAGGAACAAAGGGGAAAGAAACAACAGTGATGCAGTATTAGTGGCCTGTCTGGTGAGTTACCAAGTACAGGTATTCAGGGTCCAGGAATATAGTAGTGTCAATACAGGTACTCGGGGTCCAGGACTATAGTAGTATCAATACAGGTACTCAGGGTCCAGGACAATAGTAGTGTCGATACAGGTACTCAGGGTCCAGGACTATAGTAGTATCAATACAGGTACTCAGGGTCCAGGACAATAGTAGTGTCGATACATAGTAGTATCAACTACAGGTTTATAGTAGTGTCGATACAGGTACTCAGGGTCCAGGACTATAGAAGTGTTGATACAGGTACTCAGGGTCCAGGTCTATAGTAGTGTCGATACAGGTACTCAGGGTCCAGAACTATAGTAGTGTTGATACAGGAACTCAGGGTCCAGGACTTTATAGTAGTGTCGATACAGGTACTCAGGGTCCAGGACTATAGTAGTGTCGATACAGGTACTCAGGGTCCAGGACTATATAGTAGTGTCGATACAGGTACTCAGGGTCCAGGTACTCAGGGTCCAGGACTATATAGTAGTGTCGATACAGGTACTCAGGGTCCAGGACTATAGTAGTGTCGATACAGGTACTCAGGGTCCAGGACTATAGTAGTGTCGATACAGGTACTCAGGGTCCAGGACTATAGTAGTGTCGATACAGGTACTCAGGGTCCAGGACTATAGTAGTGTCGATACAGGTACTCAGGGTCCAGGACTATAGTAGTGTAGATACAGGTACTCAGAGTCCAGGACTATAGTAGTGTCGATACAGATACTCAGGGTCCAGGACTATAGTAGTGTCGATACAGGTACTCAGGGTCCAGGACTATAGTAGTGTCGATACAGGTACTCAGGGTCCAGGACTATAGTAGTGTCAATAGGTGTATACATATACATGGAGTTTCACTATGTAATTAGGAAGACGTACAAATGTAATAGATGTGAATTCGTCAAATAATGATATTTATATTCAGGGCGGCTGGGTCATTCATGCCTTACAGATATTTTCTGGTTTAGTTTTTGTGTACAAATTATTATACAGAATTAAATTGTATGAAATTGTTTCTTTATGACAAATATGTACATAGTTTGATAATAAGATAACAATTTCTTATTTCAGGCTGCCCTGAGGAAAGTGAGTGCTTTATACAAAACGGAAAATATCATAGATATTGATTTCAAACAGCTGATTCAGCCACGACTCATGGATTCGTTTCTCATTTGTACAAACACTGATGAGAACTTTGTATGACAGATATCTAGAAATGGAGTGACAAACTAACTCTTATTTACAACGATATTCCCTGCAGCATTCAAAAGGCTGGAATTAATCTGTGTGTGAATATGTTATTCACAGGACAAGCTGAATCAGTTCTAAATGAAAAATGGTGCATGTAATTACATTTCAATAAATATTATGGAAAGCAGGCCGATTCAGAGCAAGATTTGAAATATATTGAATCTGAAGTTTCCTAAATGATTAAAACATGATGGTGGTGGTGATGAGACACACTGTTCAATGCTAGATATATGATATATACAGCAGTAGATTTACATACAAATGATTGAGAGTTTCAGAAATTAATAGATTTGAAAAAAAAAATCATCACCAGATAGTTAAGTGACAGGTTGATTGATCATTTTCTCTCCTTTACATGTGTTAAAACCTCAAGGTAATGTTCCTTTTTGTATTTGCCACCTAGACCTCTTCTTTGCATTATCATTAATGTGAAGCCAACTCTCTTTCACAACATTTTGCTAGATAGATGATGACAACATAACAAGGTAGTATTGAGTACAGGTCTTTAAACTGATTTAGTAGCCAGAGGAAGGGAAATGATGAGGAGATAAATTTAGATGATATTACAGCTTCTTTAGACTGAGCTGCTTAAAACTGTTAAAGAAAGACTGGATTTTTTGGGGTAAAAGGTAAATTGAGTTTGATAAGAAATTTTCGGTTTTTATAGTTCACACCATGGCTATAACATCCAAATAAATTTTTTTTCTAATTAACTGCATCGCTAATGTATCTAATTATAACTGCATTTGTTATACATGTATCTATTGTAAAACTGAGTTATCAAAAGCACTATATAGCTGAAGTATGTTTTTATGTCAATTTATAATTTTTACAATGAAATATTTTTTTATTTGATCATCATCTTAGTATCCCTGTTATTCATTGTTTGTCATGTTGAAGTCTCTTCTTCCTTGTACAGATTACAAATCAGATCTACACAATTTTACACCATATTTCACACAATGTGACAAACGTTTCCTTATGTATGTTCTGTAGCTTTGATTTGTTTCATATCTTCAAATTAACTTGATTGTCAATAGAATGTGTTAAGGCCTTTTAAATAGGTCTATTCCAGACTGGATATGATTTAGACATTATCAAAATATGTCCTTACCAAGCTGGGTATGATTTAGACATTAACATATGTTTCCCCTGGCTGGATATGATTTAGACATTAACATATGTTTCCCCTGGCTGGATATGATTTAGACATTATCAAAATATGTCCGTACCAAGCTGGGTATGATTTAGACATTAACATATATCTTACCTGGCTGGATATGATTTAGACATTAGCATATGTCTTACCTGGCTGGATATGATTTAGACATTAACATATATCTTACCCGGCTGGATATGATTTAGACATTAACATATGTTTCCCCTGGCTGGATATGATTTAGACATTAACATATATCTTACCTGGCTGGATATGATTTAGACATTAACATATTTTTCACCTGGCTGGATATGATTTAGACATTAGCAGAATATGCCTGAACCTGTCGATGTTTTGAAATAAGAAACATTAGTTTCAATTGGAATTGTAACTCAAATACCCTGTCAAACATTAGTGATAATATGTAAGTCATTTACAAAATATAGCATTCTTTTTTGGAAAAGAAAAAATTAGATAGAATATATTTATCAGGAGAAAGAGTTTAGATTTTTCAGATGTTTTTTTTTAGGAAAGACTTTGAAAGTGTTATTTAGAAGTAAGTGGTATATATTTTATATACATAGCTTGTGAAATTCTGTTGGATATCAGTAAAGTAATTATCCAGTAAACAAGGAATAGATGATATGACCTTAATGTTGAAAATTTGCTTGTTGAAATAACAATTCCAATCCATGTTAAGGGTAGAATGCTTGAAAGAAAAGATATTTTTATTGTTAGTGAATTCTATTCATTATATTAATGTGTCCTTTACACATACATATGTGTCTTTGTTTGAAGTCAAATTAGAGTCAAAACCCATCAGTATTCAACAATATTGAATTTACATGCCAGTGTAGTCATTTCACTATAGGTTTCAGTTATTTTAGACATTTTTGATAATAATTCTTTAATGTATTAATTGTGTTTATTTTGCTAGTAATTTGTTATTTTGGTCTCCTTTGCTTGAGGACATGATACACAGTAAAGGTTGTCTCAAAGATGATGTTTATGTGTGTGTCAAGGTTAGCTTTCTCCTGCTGGCTTGGATATAATATTATTGTTCGTTTCTTTTTAAGAAAATGATATTTACATTCCACTGTGACTGTGATCAAATGACTGGTAAAAATTTTATTTCTATTTTCATGCTTATACAAACAATTTGTATCTTTGTGTGTTTGAGAAATGTCTTAATAAGAATGAAGATATGTTTGATGTTAAATACTCACTTGACACACGTCATATTCATGTAATCAATTTTATGGTCAGTTCACTCAGTGAATGTACAAACTGCCATTTTTCTCTCTATTAAGATAACATTAGTACCAAGTAAGTTATAATCTGCAGGACAATGAAAGAAACTGATAATGGAGGTGGAAGTTTCAGAGTTTATTATCTTAATCTGATCAAGATTTTATCCACAGCAATAAAAACTCATCAAAATGTGTTCTGTATAAAAGTTCTGAATTACCTCATCAATCTTAATTGTGTTGATTTCATTCTGAGACATTGAAGTGTAAAACTCCACATCACACTACATGTAGTAGGTGAACTGTCTGGACAATCTTTGTGAGGGCTGATCCATGTTCTTTTTGTATGGATAGGGAGGGCAATGGTTCAAGAGTTTAAATATGTTTAAAAAGACCCCTTACAAATCACCTGTATGATTCTGAAGCATTTCCTTTATGTTGTCTTACGAAGATGACAGTGTAATCATGGATACATTTTCTGACTGGTTTTGATATAAAGATATCTATTCAGTCTCACATAATTATTTTGATATAATCTCAAAGTTGCTGTTTTTTGTTAACAGATATGCAAATGTATAGTACTTGTTATACATGGAACCTCATACCACAAACCACAAAGCTAGCTAGATGTTATATCATCACAATGGATGTTCATTCTTAATATCAATAATGAAAAGTTCATAAATATATTTAAGACAGTATGGTATGATTTAGGTCCTATGTGCCTGTACTGAATACACTGATATAAAGAAGTGTATAATTACATCTACATGTGGTTGATAGCAAAGTTTTCTTGTATAGTTTTCTTACACAAATGTTCACACAAGGTGCTATTCTACCAATTTGTTTTAGTATGTATGTGATTTCCAGCAACAAAGATTTGATATATAACTTTCATTAAGCAAGTTTTATCTGTTTTGCTGGTTTTTAGTAACATTTGAATTAATTCAAATTGCATTTGTACAGTATATTATGAAATTAAAGCCGAAGGAGACTTGATAAGGATAATGGAATTTCTTTTTGTCAATTCTCCTATGAGATTGATATCATGTTTCAGAACATTGCGTTCTTTAGAGGCGCTGTCAAATGAGTTTTGGAAAACATTTTATAACATAATACATGTATTGCATTTATGATTAAACGCCTGTAGCTACAGGTATGTAGAAACCATCATTGTGTCACGGTATCAATAGCTACATAATAAATGTATAGGTGTAATGTCACGTGATCACATTGTCATATCTCCAAGATAGGATCTAAAAGGTGTAACATTTGCCACTAAGTCAGTGATTTGTATAGATGCTGTGCTGTGTCTATTGATATCAGAAAACTTTATACTTATTGCAAAATAAGACACTGGAGACTACAACAGTCATATGATTAATTGCTCTGATGATCTTTTTTATACAAATCAAATAATATTATCACTGTATTGGAATTCTATCTCAATAAGGTTTTATAGGAGCATCAAAACTCTTTCTCGACAATGTTACTGTGAGTGTATTGAAACTCTGTCCCAATAAGGTTACTGTAGGTGTATCACAACTCTGTCCCAATAAGGTTACTGTGGGTGTATCACAACTCTGTCCCAATAAGGTTACTGTAGGTGTATCACAACTCTGTCCCTATAAGGTTACTGTTGGTGTATCACAACTCTGTCCCTATAAGGTTACTGTAGATGTCCAATAAGGTTACTGTAGGTGTATCAGAACTCTGTCCCAATAAGGTTATTGTAGGTGTATCACAACTCTGTCCCAATAAGGTTATGTGTAGGATAAGGTTACTGTATCATCAAACTCTGTCCCAATAAGGTTACTGTAGGTGTATCACAACTCTGTCCCAATAAGGGTACTGTATGTGTATCACAACTCTGTCCCAAGGTTAAGGTTATCACAACTCTGTAGTAGGTGTATCAGAACTCTGTCCCAATAAGGTTACTGTAGGTGTATCAGAACTCTGTCCCAATAAGGTTACTGTAGGTGTATCACAACTCTGTCCCAATAAGGTTACTGTAGGTGTCCAATAAGGTTAATGTAGGTGTATCAGAACTCTGTCCCAATAAGGTTACTGTAGGTGTATCACAACTCTGTCCCAATAAGGTTACTGTAGGTGTATCACAACTCTGTCCCTATAAGGTTACTGTAGGTGTATCACAACTCTGTCCCTATAAGGTTACTGTTGGTGTATCACAACTCTGTCCCTATAAGGTTACTGTTTGTATATCACAACTCTGTCCCAATAAGGTTACTGTAGGTGTATCACAACTCTGTCCCAATAAGGTTACTGTAGGTGTATCACAACTCTGTCCCAATAAGGTTACTGTTGGTGTATCACAACCAATCATAACGTCACTATAAATGGATCTATTTTCATGTGCTTTCACTTTTATCGAGGATGGAATATAATTGCAAAAAAGCGGCTCGCAGAAAATAAGACCAACAGACGTAATAATTGACTTTTTATAATGGCTTAAATGTCCAACCATTTGTTTCAAACTTTTGGTAAAGCAAAATTTTCTAAACTATAGAAATCTGTTATCGACAGTAAACCGTATGTAAATTTATTTCGTTACGATACAGTAGTCCTCGATAATCTGGATATCTTCGTGACTGACAAAAGTCGTCTGGATTTTCCACCCAGGCGAGTTTAATAACCTGCCAATCTGAGTTGATTACAGGGATTTGGTGTGATGCCACTGCTTGTTCGGTTGTATTGTAAAACTAATTAAATTGTTTCTTACCTTTCATGAGACAATTGTTAACATATCTCTATCACGTATACCTGTATGATCACATTTCTATTAACAACGATGATGTTTTGTGAATTTTTAGTTTTACATACTGTTGTCGGAACTTGTAGATTGGCGAGAGTAGTTTTTGAAACTGAAATGTGAAAGTGGAAGTTCGTTGCGCTATCACAGGGAGAAACTGGAGCACTGTATACAAGAAATTGTTCCAAGTAAACTGATAAACCAGAACATAAATCTGGAGATCCTAGATATAAAACTGATCCTGACGAAAAAAAGGAATATGTTTATAGTACTTATAAAGATCCCAGTAAGGAAGACATAACTGTATCTGATCAAGAAAAAACTAACGTTCCCGCGCACTTCTTTCAAACCTGACAAGAGAATCGAGATTGACAAGGTTAACTTAAAACCGATTGCGAGACTCGATATTACTGCGGACAAGATGCGAATCAAACTACTTGAATTGAAAAAAAAAATCAAAATCTCTGGGACCGGATATGTTTCATCTCAGAGTGCTGATATTCTAAACATCCGTAAGTACCGGGAAACCACCAGAAGACTGGAAATGCACCAATATAACCGCTCTATTTAAAAAGGAAGACCGTAAGGACGCTTCAACCAAACCCCGGTCTGTCTAACGTGTGTAAGGAAAGGGAGTCAATAACTAGTGAGGAAACATAAACCTTATGAGACAAAAAAAACTTTTTCAGCCAAGCACAGTTTGGCTTCATTGATGGCAGATTTACGTTTTCACAGCTTCTAAAGGTTTTCAATGAGTTGACTGAAATTTTGAGAAAAGGAGGGGATGTCTATGTTATTAATTTTTATTTTATTTAAGTATTTGATAATATATGTCATCTACGCATACTACATAAACTTTCTCTTTATAGCGAACTATGCTTATATAATGAAACAATCGTGTCTATTTTAAAATATGATTCTTTTTGCCAAAAAGTCAGTGTATTAGAGAGAGAGAGAGAGAGAGAGAGAGAGATAGAGAGAGAGAGAGAGAGAGAGAGAGAGAGAGAGAGAGAGAGAGAGAGAGAGAGAGAGAGAGAGAGAGAAATAAAAGTTCAACACGACTAATGTGTTTCGGTAACGTTCTCAGGCCCAACGGTTAACTAAGGCGATTGATAATTTTAGTATGTGGATATTGACACCATAGAATTTCCTTTTTATCAGCATTTAAATAAATATCATTTGAAAGCACTGCATGTAACGTGTAATCAAAACACTATATACGATGTGTCTATAAATACATGTGATATTGCCTTGGCTGTTATTTCCTGACCAATATTATATGTATATATTCTTATTGTATTCTTTTCAATTTGATTTAAATGAGGTTTTTGTCACAGAACTGTTAGTTTCCAGATAAAGGTGTCATCACACTGATAACCTTCATGGACTGATTGACCATATAATCACATTTTCATATATATATATTATATTTTATACCCATAAATAATTTTCTCAACTATTTTTTGTGTTTTGCCTCATTTACTACACTTACTGAATTCTTTTTGTACATATACTGACTTCACAACTTGTCGTGAATGAATTCTGTGAGCTATTTACTTGTGAACACACATTTCTTTTGATATATGTGTATTTCTTTTTGAATATTTTAGGATCAAGTTGCATTCCTTACGAATGTTCATTACATGAACGTGTACAGTATAATGAGATAATAAAACCATTATGTCAGAAATCACATGATGCATAACTTTGTTACGGTAGAGCGATATAAGAGCTATTTGTACAGTAGAATGGACTAAATTTACATATTCAATAGAAAATATCAAAAACTCTCCAGCTGTGACAGCAGCCTTCATTTCTAATTTAGAAATATGTATTCTTGACCTTCGACCTGGATTTAACAAGCATTGGATATACTAGCAGCAGTGTTGGTCTTTATGTGTGTATGTAATGATATTCTGTACATTGTTTTTGGTTATTTTTGTTACGTTCCTTTGTGAACATTCTTATCACGAATTCAGTCGCCATTTCATATGAACATGAATACATACTTAATATTTGTTTACGTAATGAAATCTAACATCTGTGTTAGCATGATAATGACAGTGGATTAGTACCCGAAGTCACGTGTAGTAGGTGACCTTTATAGCAATGGTCAAGGTGAAAAAGATGCAACTGCCGTTTATCTGAACGACCATGTATTATTATCCATCGAAATGAATACGTTGTTGAAGTAAATGTCATAATCCTTCGGTATTGCAAATCGTGTAAAATGCGAGTAAAAATAATTGAAGTTGAATAAAACTGAATCCGCATAACCTTACATAACACTGTACATGATTAGACGAAAGTTACGCCAAATTTATTTTTCGCATTTTCCCGGTCACAAACTTTTTTCTATTTAGTCTTGTCTTAATCTTGTTGGATGAATGTTATTAGAGGCTTTAGTCCACACAATCGAACATAAACGACTGTATCTTCTTGTTTTTCGGATCAGTCGACCTGGACAGACTGTTGGTGAAGTCAGGACTATATTTACTGGCGCCGGTTGTTCTGCCATACACATCCGTCACCTCGCGGAAGAATGCTGGCGAGTTGCCACAGCACAATCCAATGTACTGAACACCGAGCTCTTTGGCTTCTTCTGCGAACTTGCGTACCTCCCAACGAGTACAGAGCTGAGCTGACAGATTGTCAGGGTAGAGGCGATCACCTGTTGATGTCACAGAAATCAATTAACCTCTTCACAACACCGATTTATGAGCTTTATATGCACTTAATTAATGTCCAAGTTACTTCTATAATTATTACATGTCAGAACAAAAGTACAGCGTGGACGTATGTCCTTACCTGTTTCAGGGTCCAGAAGTGACTGGAAGGTTTTGTACTTGCCCCTGCATCGGAAAGGGACTGGGATAGCCGCAAGGGGACCCTAAAATGTAGTTCGGGTTTTGTTATGCAGTTTTCGTTGAAAGATTGGATAATAATTCAAAGGGTGTCCCAGTATCACGATTTCCGCATTTTTTTTTTTTTTCGCCAATCAAAGTTCAAACGTGTCATTAGAGAAAATCATGTTGAAGACTGCCACCGCTCGCGATCATGATACATTTGGAAACGTTTTTTGCGATATAAAGTTTAAGCAATTAGATGCACAGTGTCGTTTTCACTACTAAATGTCTCTTTATGAGAACGTGGCGTTCGATCAAGATTAAAATTTTCTGGAAAATATGATCCCATTATTCAGCTTTCTCCAATCAAGAACTAAGATATGTCTGCTTAAGACGTTTTTGTTACCTTACAGACTTTTCGGATCTCTTTCAGTAAGGGCATCATTGTTTGGGGTCCACGCGCACAGTTCAGGCCAACTACGGCAGCCCCAGCATCTTCGAGCCGTTTGCATGCCTCTGGAACAGGGACTCCGTCTAGCATTACATCCGGTTGGTATACCGTCAGTGTTATGACAGCCGGCAGCCCTTTAAACGGAAAACAATGATTTCTGTATATGCTTTGAACATTTAACACGAAAAGATATTCTTTTTCGAATTAAAACATTTTTGCCATAATGTTGCCTTTTCTTATAAGACCCCACATTGTATTTGTACTTATAAGGTAGCAAGAAATTGTACTACCGTTTCCGTGTTCCTTGATCATTTCGAGTGCAATCATGGCTTCTCCGAAGTCCTGGAATGTCTCCCCGATGATGTAATCAGCCTTTTCCTGAACAGCCCATTCGATTTGTTCCTGTTCAAACAAATATAATGAAGTTATGCGTTCAGCAGATATAATAAGGTGATACTTTCATGTAAAAATGGAGAAAAATTAAACAACAGTAAATAAAAAAGAATAAAAATAGTTGGTAGATATTTACCTTAAACATAGCTCTTAATTCCTTCATTGCTTCGGGATTATCGGGCTGGTAGTGCCAGGTATGTGAAATATCTCCGGCCATGAGAGACCCTGTGGCGTCCGCGACTTCCCGGGCCATTCTTAAAGCACGTCTGTTAAGTTCTTCCAGCCCTTCCTCAATGCCAATAGCTCGCAAGCGCTTTCTGTTGCCTAAATACTTCAAGTACGAGAAAATTCCAAAGTTTGAGCATTGAATTGAAGTGTTAATATTTTTTTTTTACTTTTTCATGTCTAGCTTTAGCGATTGCCAATTTTTTCAATACTTTCAATGGAAAATTGATATTAAATTGATATATTTTTGCGAAATTACAACAAGGTTGTATAAAAAGGAAGCGTCATTTCTTAACAAATAGACATTTTACCTTGTTTTTACTGGTTACTACTTAATCTATTGCTGCGCTCTCATATGTGACCTTGAATATTTGTTAAAATAACTCAGGTGATATTATTAGTTTGTTTGATTTTTTTGTTTTTGTTTTGATTTTTGTTTTTGTTTTTCTATTTTTGCATGGATATTTGTTTCTTTCGATTTTAGATAGGAGAACTGGAAAGCAAGCTATAAGTTTACAACTCATCTCCTTTCTATATATTTCCGCAAACGATATCTTAAAAGGAAATATTAAAATAGTGTAATTTATGTGTTATTTTACAATTGGATAAATTTTGTCGGAAACTTTATCTGAAATAAATTCAGTTGTTGGATTGAGATTTCTAATAGTTCAATGGCTATCTTTTGTGCATTGATAAATCTTACCGTAAACGCTTCGACGACGTCACTTCCTGCGTGTGCATATTCTTCATGCATTATTCGCACCACTTCTGGATTGTTCAGAACTACTTCCGGTGTGAACTCCCCGAACTTTACGTAACCCTTTCTCTCAAGTTCCCACATATATCCCTCCGCAATGATAATAGCCTCGCCATCATTTAATCGTTGTAAGAAACCTGAATGTGACATTTCAAATACAAAGGCACTGATACTTTATGATATCATGAAAGTAGATTTATTCACCTGTATCTAGAATGTAAACATCTCAAGCAAAAATCAAGTCCATTATGCATCATACAAAAGGTAAGAAACTCAGTCGCTGTAAGACGGAAATACGTCATTTCTATAGATTTTCAAGGAGCTGTTCGGTTGACTGGCTCTGGGGAGTTCCGACTGAGTGATATTTTTTAGAATTGAATGAAGTGCTTCCGTCTTACGATATGGATTGACAAGCTGAGAAAGAAAAAGTGACATTTCATGGCGAAACTTGGTGTGACATATGTTCTTGATGTTAAATAACGGTTAATCAAACGTGTTTTAGTGGTTAACTTGGCTTTCAAATGATGGAAAATTTCATTTTTTTCCGATCAGCTCCGAATGTCGTTCCCTGCATGTTTCTTGCCTTTTTTCGCTTGAATTGTGTGTACGTTCCAGATCAAGGTGCCAAAGGTATGTGTGAGAGTGCAAGTATATGCGTGTCGGAGATACAGTCTGTTTCGTGTTCATAGTGTGTGTCTACACTATAAGATGATTCGTTGTTAGTATGTGGTGTCTAAAATATGATATGTTCCGTTGTCAGCACGTGTGTGGTTAAGCTATAAGATGCTCTGTTGTCTGTTTGTGTGTGGCACAACAATAAGATGTTATGTTCCTGGCCATGAATACTTAAACGTCATTGTCACATAACTAAATAAAACTGCATTCGACTATTGACTAAAGTCAAATCGGCCCACAAACATAAGTGGTCGTATATCTTCAATGCCCTTACTCACAAATTCAGAAGAATTCTCACACACATCGTACATGTCAACCAGCTGATAAGGGATATTAATGTTTACGATATTATATTGCTAAGCGACATTGTAATTGGTCAGCAAAACGTTTTTCAGCTTATAAATCTAGATGATTCAGAAATTTCCATTTTATTTCCAGTGGAGAGGTATCTGACTGTTAAGTTAACCTAAACAAGCACTCTGCACTTGCCACACAGTTCACTGTTATATAAATGTAAGACTCTGGGCCATATGGCCTTTAAAGTCACCCAGCACTTTTTAATTGAAGTACTTGTATAGCTATGCCACAGAACATTTTAACATGTTTTATAATTCGAGAAAGAATGACTTTGTAAATAACGCTTGGTTACAATTTGACCGGAACACAAAACATATTCATACCATAAATTCAGTGGGCGTTTGTCTTGCATCAGTATAAGTACAATGGTGGTAAATTCTAATTCTTTTACTTTACATTATCTATTTACTCCCTGTAGGCCATTCCTTGTACTGAAACCCGTAAAGTACACAGCTATACAACCATAAACGTGTTTGTATACTTTACCTTTCGTTGTCATGCTGTAAGTCTATAAGATTTGAACGGTTAAAGCCCTCTGTGTAGGCTAGTGTGTGTCGTATCTGCGGGAACCGTCCCTCGAGCTGAACATATTTATCTAACTGATGTTGTCCCCTATCTAGCCGCACTTACGGAACCCGGAAAGGGACATCAGGAAAAAAAATGTTAATCCGAGGTCTCGTTTTAGCAATCCGTGGTCTCGGTTTATTAATCCGCGGCCTCGGTATAAGTAATCCGTGACCTCAGTTTAAGTAATCCGTGGTCTCGGTTTAAATAATCCGTGACCTCAGTTTAAGTAATCCGTGGTCTGGGTTTAAGTAATCCGAGGTCTCGGTTTAGCAATCCGTGGCCTCGGTTTATTAATCCGCGGCCTCGGTATAAGTAATCCGTAGTCTCGGTTTAAATAATCCGTGGCCTCGGTTTAAACAATTATACCATTTATAAATACGTAAATAATATGCACTGACTATTTTATTTAACTGAAATGATGGTTTACTTAATGGACTTGGCAGTGATCACCCTAAAGTGTGCAACATGACACGTCTTTAAATTATCAAAGGAAGATAGTTATCAGTATAGTTGGACGTCATTTGTAGCTTTCATGGTCACAGGTTTGTGGCTCCTCCACATGATCTAAACTAGTGAGATGTTAACTGTCATATGAAGCTACTATTTTACTACTGAGGTAAAGTTTTATCATGGAGGAGCATGATTGTACAGTAAAACAGTCTATGGAAATTACTGATCAATTTACGTAATGTGTACCAACTTCCGAAAAAGGGGAGATAACCGAACTACCTAAGCATGTTGAAATATCTATCATGTAGTTTAAGAGGGATAGCGGGTACATTTTTGCTTGCCCAGTGGCGCATAACTTTCGGAAGAAGGGAGTAACCAAATCTAATATAGATTATGTACATTAATGGCCAGCAAGTTTCGTTAAAATCCATCAAGTAGTTGAAATTAGGTGGAGTAGCTGGTACATCCACATGAATCGGGCGTTCTATGCGCGAAATATAGCTATTATACTGTAATTAAATAGCAGGGTTTCTATTGTTATACATGTATATAGAAATCCTACCATTCAAGTAGTATAACAGCGATATTTCACACAAAGAACATCCGACTCTTGTGATACATCTACAGACGGACTGACCACATGCTTTCAGTATATCCTACCCCCCACCTCAGGGGTATAATAATTTTGTTTCTTTTGAGGTAATGTTTTTCCATTTCAGTGAAATAATATACAATTTAAACACGTACATGTATATATATATTTATGGTGTAAAATATATTCCACTTCTGTGAAATAAATTTAAAATGTATTGTACCATATTGTTAAAAACTATCAAATGTTAAAAATGGCTTGCCATATTAATGGTACAATACACAGTCAGCTTGTGTCCTGCATTTCAAAGTCCTATAGTCTCGATCAGGTGAAAGATGACCCAGACGAGGTGTTTTCTGTTGATGAAGGAATACATATATGTCTAAATCTGTGAGGTGAGATGACGTGCCTGCTGCGTGTGATTAACACTTCATCAATGCAATGGAGTTTGTGGGATAAGAACAGCAAGAAAAAATCTATAATAACACATAACTACCAATTATCTTATTTTTTGTTCTTATTCCATGCATATTGATACTAGCTACTGTGCTTCGTGTAAGAAATATGCTGGAAAATAGAGATGCATTTTGTTGGAAAAACAAATAGAGACGGGGTGTGGACAATGCTTTTTTCCCATGATACAGGTGTAATCAACATCAACATAAAATAACAAACTAGAACAATAAAGTAGAACTTTTATTGAAATATCAACACATCTGCAGTAAGATGCAAAAACTGATTTTTAAAAAAAATCATTCAAAGGCAATTTTCTTTCTGGTAAAATATTAGATTTGGTTGCAGAATCTGAACCACAAACCCACAAACCACTAAACCGAGACCTCGCATTACTAAACCAAGGCCACGGATTACTAAACCGAGACCTCGCATTACTAAACCAAGGCCACGGATTAGTAAACCGAGACCTCGCATTACTAAACCAAGGCCACGGATTAGTAAACCGAGACCTCGCATTACTAAACCAAGGCCACGGATTAGTAAACCGAGACCTCGCATTACTAAACCAAGGCCACGGATTAGTAAACCGAGACCAAGAATTACTAAACCGAGGCCTTGGATTTAAGAAAAAAAAAACTGTGATGTCCCTTCCGGGGCTCCGTACGCACTTGATCATGTGACTAATAGCAAACTATACAATGCCCAGGCGACATACTTGCTCGCAAGCTGTTAAATTAATCTTTGATAGTGAATATTTTACGTCCTTAACCACAACCCTAGGAGTTCTGTGTGGAGACGGGATCCCTTAGAACAAATTCATGTTCATGATCTTAGATGATAGGAAAATTATGCATGAACTGTGTTAATCAAAACAGTGTTTCCTATATATATGTATAAGGGGTCTGATAGGGAAATGTACAAATACAGTATGCTGTGTGAAATAAAGACGTCATCTCGTAGCGATATTAATGTATTTCACGAAACATCATAGAAATGACATCGACAAACACACTCATCTTGTAAACTTTTCGATGATAATGATAAAAATTACAAAGTAAACACATAATCAGACATTGCGAAGCCATATTGCATAGCTTTCCTTTAATGTAATTTAAATCAATGTGCTTTTACAAAACGCGCCCTCATTTCTTTCCAGTTCCAGCGAATTCCCTTAACTTCGAATAACTTGGTTTACTGTCCCCAGCAAGAACACTTAACGAAAGGTCGGGTGAATATTTGCTGGCTCCAGGTCTCCTCCCATATACTTCCGCCAACTCGCGGAAGAAGAATGGCGCATTCCCACAACACAGTCCAACGTAATTTACACCAATATTCTTAGCTTCCTCTGCAAATTCCCGGATGTCGTCTCTATTACAGGTCACACAAGAAACGTTTGATGGCCAGGCGAACTTGCCTACAAAAATCCAATATTCTTTATTGGATATTAGTTTGTATAAATATATACTATTATTTTCGAGGACGGATCAAACAACACGAAAATAGAAACCTTGAAACTAACATGTACTTTTTGCAAGGTTTGGATGTAACAAAGAAAGGAACTACTTTTGGTCGTGAAAAAAAAGAGAATAGAAAAAATTATCACGAGGACTTTGAAAAACAGCAAGATGATACCAGCATGTTGACAAAACCATAATACAAACGAAATAACAGAAAAATAATTGAAATGATTTAGAAAAGGTTAGCACGACAACCCGTACAAAAGTACAATGTCTGAAATCCATGCAATGTCTCAATGAACCTTGTATATACTGACAAAGACATCATAGGACATACTTAAGGGCACCTGTAACTTAAATCGCACAAGACTGTAGGGAGCGTAATGGTTAGTGTATAACTACATCATTATCTTCATCTCCCTTCGTCTCTCGATTCTGTCTACGTCTTTCCTATCTATCTGATTCGCGATAGAACTAAGAAAACGATTAACACTTAGGAGAAGCAGAAAATGATTCCACGGTAAGTCGACAAACATGTCAACGGTTGTCTTTATCTAGAAGTTATACCTGTGTTCGGATCCTTCAGCGATGTCCATGTGCGGTTTTCCTGTGTAGTTCTAAACGTCACAGGAAGAGCAGCTATTGGACCCTATGGAAAACAGTATGAATAGTTACATACGTCAGGTGGTTCTAGGCAGATTGAGAGTGTCGGATTCTCAGCAGTCAATATTAAAACTGAACAAGTAAACAACAAATCGCCAATTCATTTACTTCAAGTTTTTTAGTATTGTTATTATTGAAGTAAATTAAGCGGAACCTTTGTTGGGTACGCATTGTATTATTATTATACAATAAAACGGTCACAACGATTACTTAATATCGGAACAACCTTAACCTTGCATGTTTTCCTGATTTCCTTGATAAGAGGTAACATGGTCTTCGGGCCACGCCCACAATTCAGGCCGACAACATCTGCCCCGGCCTCCTCCAGTCTGCGACACGCCTCCGCTATTGGCACATCATCCAGTGTCATGTCAGGATTGTAACAAACAATAGTTATCACTGCCGGAAGACCTGGGGTGGTACATTGTAATATATGACTCAGTGTAACATGTACAACATTTGTTCAGACTTACGGCCTTCGTATGGTATTTTGCATGGAACCATCAGGTCGTTTGCGAAAAGCAAATGTGCTGTTGACAAAAATGAAAGAAATATCTTTTTATCTTTCTTTGTGATTCAGTCTGAAAATTTAAATTACCCATTATATCAACTACACCGCCATGTTTATATGCTCACAAAATTACCATCTACCCCGCCTCACAAGACAGGCATATACACAGGATATATTAATTACCTTTTCCGTATTGTTGTATCGCCTCAAGAGCTAGCTTAGCTTCTCCGTAATCATTGATAGTTTCCGCTATAATGTAGTCAGCACCCTCCTCTACCGCCCACTCCACCTGTTCCTGTCACATGGTCATTTTTGTTTTGTTCATTATCATTTTTTGAGTATTTTCTCCGCCTACTTTGTCTGGCATCACTGACCATTGATAAATAAGAGAGCTTTGATCTGATATCATTACGTTAATTATGTGTTTTGTAAATTATAGGTTTTACAGAAAACCTCCAAAGAACCCTTTTTCATCGTTGAAACTCGAAACTTGGATTAGTATAGATCTTTGACATTATGACTATGTAAGTTACCTTAAACATAGCCCTAATTTGCTCATCTATTTCCGGTTGGTTTTCCTCATAGATAGTAGTACTACACAGTCCACCAGCCATTAGAGTCCCAGTCTCGTTTGCCACTTCTCGAGCGATTTTGAGAGCGGTTCGGTTGAGTTTCTCTAGGTCTTCCTCTCGACCTATTAATTTCAGTCTCTCCCTGTGTCCGTAATACTGACAAACAGAACATGTATTTTAAAAACTGACAATATTCCATCCCAATGCAACTAAAACCACTAGTGTTTAACTGTGTATACAACAATTTAGGAAAAATAAAAGATCTGTCAAAAAAAGGTTGGAAGTAGGAGCACAACCTGTCATTTTAGAAAATAATAACTATATTTGCTGATTTTTCGCGGAGTCAGAGTATTACATAACACCGGAAGTGCATGTCAATATTTTATATGTTGATACCACCTCGAGTGTTTCCCTCAGTTTTGCTCTTATTACCGTGAACGCTTCCAAAACATCTGTGCCAGCGTGTACAAACTCGCGATGCATATTTCGAACCACATCCGGGTAATCTAAAACCACGTCTGGTGCAAATGAACCAATCTTCAGATAACCTCTTCTCTCGGATTCCAACATGTATCCTTCCGCAACAAGGACGTTTTCACCATTATTTAGGCGTTCTAGCAACCCTGATTGGGAGAGGATATAACCAGTTCTTAAAAACTCTGGCACTAAATACCTATGTCTATGCATTATGGCGAAAAACAATAAGAAAATACCAACATGTCAATGAAATCACAATCCAAACTCAAGTTCCATAAAACTAAGGCAAAATATGAACAAGAGAAAGATTTACACGGAAAAGTGTTCCGGAAGAGTAGGCATCTTCTACTTCATTGGTTCTTTATAAATCCGAGCAGGTAATCAAAAAATCAAGTATTCCCCTCGTTTTGTAAGCAGATTCAACAAATGATGTTTTAGATTTGGCAGAATTAAAATCGTTTTTAATAATAAAAAAGACGAAATCGTATTCTATGTTTGTTTTTATTCTGACTCAAGTTAGTTGTCACGGGATGATTCAGTTCATCCGTTGGGTTAAAAATATGTGCAAAACAGAATTTCTCACGTATTAATATCAAATCTGATGTTTAATGTGTTTGATGTTTGTTAGCTTGAGAACGTGACATTACTTACTTGGATTGACCAAAGTTTACATGGATGGTGTTATCGATGACACAGAAGACGCTTACTCCTCCGGAACACTGGTTTTATTCTCCTTACACGTTTTCAGGAGTCTCAGTGTAAATCTTTCTTTGGTTCATATTTTGCCATAATTTTATTGAATTTGAGTTTGGAATGTGATAAAGTTGACATGTTGGTATTTTCTTCTCATTGGTTTTTTTTAAGATAAATATATTAAATCTGTCTATCGATGATCTCAAGATTCCTTATATCATCAATACAGCTTCACACAAACACAATTTAGTTATGACGAAAGTGAAGAGATTTAAAAAATAAAAATTGCAGTAAGAGGAGTCTTTTGAATGGTTCAAAATAGTCTGAATGATATTGATTTCATTTTAAGATAAAGCGATATCAACAAAACACCATTCTTAAAAATACGAGGTGTCATTCATAAGTAATAAGTTTTAATAGATGTGTTATTGTAGAGCCGTATTCATTTCTCTCGCCCTAGGTCTTAATGTGTTTCATGGTTCGTATAACATCTACAATAGACGACAGAAAGATGTTTCGCATGACTTGCTGTGAACATGTGGTTTCTAAAAAAAATAATCAAATATATTAGCATATGTTCATACATGATTAGGACCTATAACACACGAAAGGATTAATGAATAATTCGCATGACTCACCGTGTACTTGTGGCGTCTGAAGAATGATGAACGATATTATCGCATCTTCATGTCCCTCGATCACAACTCGGTACCAACAGTAAATTTATAACCTAACGGACTTCACTAGCACTTACTCATGTATGACTACGTGTTGTTAATGTACAGAATGTAGATATAGCACTGGTTTACAGGCAGACATGAATCGTAGAACGTTTTTCTTACCTTTTGTTGGCATGGTTTGTCAGTTGAGAAATTCCTGGTCAAGATTCAGGAGTACAGGACGTGTAAACAATTCTGTTGATATCCTACAAACGAGACTAAACGTGTATTTAGTTTGTGCCATCCACGTGAGCTTCAGTGCACACAAAATTAGAGCTATGTGTGTGTGCCTTCGTACGGAAGCGTATTCCGGCCAAGTTGTGTTTTATTTTATCTCGAAATTTCGAGATAGCAACTCGAAATTTTGAGTTAGTAACTAGAAATTTCGAGTTAGTAATCCGAAATTTTGAGATATTAACCCGAAATTTCGAGATAGCAACGCGAAAGTTTGAGATAGCAACTCGAAATTTAGATATAGCAACTCGAAATTTTGAGTTAGTAATCCAAAATTTTGAGTTAGTAAGTTGAACCCGAAATTTCGAGATAAGAACTCCAAATTTCGACTTACTAACTCAAAATTTCGGATTACTTACTCGAAATTTCGAGTTACTAACTCAAAATTTCGCTCGAGTTGCTATTTCGAAATTTCGGGTTAATATATCAATTTTCGGATTACTAACTCAAAATTTCGGTTAACCAACTCGAAATTTCGAGTTACTATCTCGAAATTTCGAGTTCAAATAAAACACAACGTAGCCGGAGTACGCTTCCGTACCTTCGCGATAACAGAATACGCAAGTAGGTCAACCAAAATGGCGTCGCTCTCTGGGAAAAGTATGAGACATATATATATATACATGTGTTCAATATGGCATCACTATACGTTAAGTGATGAAACATCGTTCCAAGTAAATATACCAAGAGCTGAAATAGGACTACTATACAATGAATTGATAATGGGAAAGTCACATTTGACTTGGGTTTCTAAATAATTATTTTTATTCACGGAACTTTTTTCTGAAATGTGGTCAATGGCACACATGGATGGCAGTAATGTATACAAAAATGAAACAATCTGCCATTAATATTATGTCTTCTATTTTCATGTCAGCTTAACATTTACCCATTATTTCTGTTCCTTTTAATCAACAACTGGACAGATAAATGTTCTATGAGACAGCATGACCGACATGCCGAATAATGTAATTCACACAGCCACTTCTAAACCGACAATGACAATCGGTTAGTACTGGTAAAATGATAATGTTGTAGTCATAGCGTTAAAGTTTAGTTTTTTTTATTCAGATCGTTAGCTGGATGTAAAAATCTACACTGTTAAAAACTGTTTGATTTCTTAATCAATTCGCAAAATACGAGTAGTATGTAACATTTTGTACCAAATCTATAATACAGTAAATCAGACAATATGTAACATTTTGTATAACAGGATTGAAATTTATAATACCAAATCTATAATACAGTAAATCAGACAATCGGCCAAACAGGATTGAAATTTATAATACTGTGAGACAGACAATCCATCAGTCAGGATTGAAATCTATAATACTGTGAGACAGACAATCCGTCAGTCAGGATTGAAATCTATAATACTGTGAGACAGACAATCCGTCAGTCAGGATTGAAATCTATAATACTGTGAGACAGACAATCCGTCAGTCAGGATTGAAATCTATAATACTGTGAGACAGACAATCGGTCATTCAGGATTGAAATTTATAACGCAATGAATCAGAAGATCGGTCAGCCAGGATTGAAATTTATAACACAGTGAGACAAACAATCGGTCAGTCAGGATTGAAATTCATAAGTACAAAAAGAAAGGGGATGCAAACCAGTTTCACAAATTTAATACTGTGTCGCATTAGTTGTAATATCCATTTTGTTCCTATCGGGAGACGTTCGTACCAATCCAGGAACAGCGGATTTTTTTTCGTTAGATGACTGGTAGCGTTAGAAATGAAGCTGTTTTTACCAACAATCTAGACATCTTGTGTTTAATAGAAACGCATCTTGATCCTTCCATTCCCTAACTTCTTTTCACAAATCTATCAACAGTATTCAGACAGAAATGCATTGGTGGCGGTGTCATGCTTGTTTCAACATATGACATGCTGCCTAAATGTAGACATTCAATCAATAAATGACGAAATAATATGGATTGAATTTTGTTCTGATAATAAGAAAAATCTTCCATGTTTATTATTTAGACATTCATTGCAAAATACGAACTTGGACACGTCTAATACACTCTCTCGATATAGCTTTTAACTATACTGACTTACTAACAGGAAATAACAATGAGCTCAGCATTCTTTCACAACAATATAATTTAATTAACCTGGTTACTAGTTGTACCAGTTTTAGACAATATTACTGATCACAGAGCTATCATTGTTTCATTGTCGTCATAACTGCCAAACCCTTCGTCATTCAAGAGGAAAGTATGGGAATACAATAGAGCAGATATGTTTAACCTTAAAACAGAAGAAGGACAGGCAAACGAAGTCATTTTGTTTTCACATGTCAAAACTGTATTTAACCTCGTTGACTTACCGTCTTAGTGTTGATTTACTTTTGTTTGGCGATCCTCTTTTATCTTATGACCAAAAAGTAGAAATATTGCAGCTACTCAAAAATTTATAAAATCGATTGAAAGATTTAGAAATAGTATCTAGCATCCTATCGATATAACCGGGGAAATTCATCAATTCATGTATTCATGTTTACAATATTTATACTTATAAATTATGCACTCTTGCCTTATTTTATATACCCCCTTTTCTTTTCTCTTCTTCCATTTTCTCTTCCTTTAGTTGTAAACTTGTTCGTTTCATATTATAAACATTAGTTAAGTTACATTATAATCAATTCACTATATGCTGTCAATGTAAGGGTTAACATGTAAAATTTAAATTGCTGTATTGATGAGACGGGCTTAGAATAAGTACATTTGTACTTGTTTCCAAATCATCTTTATGTTTTGTGTGTCACCAATATGTACATGTTTCACTTGCCAATACAAATAAAGTTTAAACTAAAACTGTAACTGAATGTAATTTATTTACTTACAAACTTATTTTCATTTTAGAGAAACATATTCCCCAAAAATCATACATGTAACTGAAAACAAACACGACAAACCATTGATAAAGATAGATATCTGAAAAGAAATAAAATGTAAAACCATATAAAGAAAAGACATTATAAGAGTGAAATTCCCATTCTCAGAAGCTAGATATAAACGTGCAAGAAACAAAGTTAATAATCAGTAGTAAACTTAAACACGTTTAAAAACTCTTTATGCTAATGTAGACGGATTCATCAACAAAAACTCTTTTATGCTGATGTAGACGGATTCATCAACAAAAACTCTTTTATGCTGATGTAGACGGATTCATCAACAAAAACTCTTTTATGATGATGGACGGATTCATCAACAAAAACTCTTTTATGCTAATGTAGACGGATTCATCAACAAAAACTCTTTTATGCTAATGTAGACGGATTCATCAACAAAAACTCTTTTATGCTAATGTAGACGGATTCATCAACAAAAACTCTTTTATGCTAATGTAGACGGATTCATCAACAAAAACTCTTTTATGCTAATGTAGACGGATTCATCAACAAAAACTCTTTTATGCTAATGTAGACGGATTCATCAACAAAAACTCTTTTATGCTAATGTAGACGGATTCATCAACAAAAACTCAGCTAACCCCAAAGTGTACTGTAAACTAGTAAACACAATTCTAACAGACAACTACCCTACTTATCGCACCCAAATAACAACCACAGATGACAACGTAAACTACAACATTGTAAACAACATTTTATCATCCGTTTCCGACCTTGATGACCCTAACGTAGATAGACCATTCTTCGTTAACCAAACAGGCGCATGCTTTACTAAATCTGTTTTCAGAGAAAATGAAGTTTTAGATAAAATTATCATTTTAGATATTTACGGAGAAATAGCTGCACCACTCTCCCTTCTATTAAAAGCTTGTCCCTCTGTACTTCTGCTTTTACCGATTCATGGAAATTTGCTGCTTATTTGGCAATCATCTTATAAAAAGGAGAACCTTAACTACAGACATATTTCGTTTCATCGGTATTTTTTTCGCGTGACTTATTTATAAGCACATTTACAATTACTTTTCATCACTCACCAATCCATAGTCTTCTATCATATTATACTTAGAGCCATGGAGAATCATGAACGTACTGCCCTGTTGTTGTTTTTTTTTATGTTCCTATTGTGTTCGACCGAATCTGGCACAAATGCCTTTTGATTGAACTAGAAAAATAAGAGGTTAGAGATAAACTTTTAGACTGGATTGTAAACTAATTAAGTAGCAGTCGCCATTCTGCTGTACTAAAAGTGCAATATCTTCAGAATGAACAAAAACCGGAGCTCCTCAAGGTACAGTATTAGGGCCTCTCCTGTTTCTCCTATACATCAACGACATATCAAATGAACTATAATCAGTTACTAGAGTTTTCGCTTATGACAAGCATTAGTACTCTTTTCCAATCCAATCTAAATATTCTAATTGGTAGGTTAGAAAACCGTTTATTTCTATTTCTAAGCGATTTACCTTTTAACATCTGACTGTCAGATTGGAGAGCCAAGATACATACGATGTCCTCTGACTATTCTAACTTTCCCTTCCCTCCACCCCTCTCTTATTCTAGCCTCACCAGGTCTTCTTACACAAACTGTCATTCTATATGTACATGTACTTCATTTATCTATTTATTTCACAGCTCCTATATCCATTCATGTCTCAGTTGTAAAGATTAGATAAAGAACTGTCTGGTTTTCCTTATCTGGCTGGGTAAATATTTAGGACTGTTATTCTCTGAAGGACTAGGTGTGATCACGGTGAAAGGCAATTTGCAGCGCGGGATGTGATGGACTTTAGAAAAAAAGTTTTACATGTGTAAAGATTAGTTGTGTACTTACGCAAACAAGATTAGAAAGATCACACATGTGAATGTGTGAATTAATCTAAAGCTATTGTATGATAAATCATTTTTGCATGCTTTTATTTGTTACTGAAAGAGCGTAGGTAAGATGTAATAACTTTTGTCCAATCCATTTGTCTTTTGTTTGAAATGATATTGATTTAATCTAAACCGCTTTCTCCGTTTTAACTGATTGCCATTGCAACTAAGGACACCAGCTGGCTGACCTGTTTTGAACTTTCTTCCGAGAAGGCTGATGGTAATTAAATGAATGTTACACAGTTTGATTCAAAAT